AAAAATTTTCAATTGTCATGTTTTTCAAGTTCTTTGAATCAAAAACTTTTTTTCAAATCCAAAATTTTCCAAATCCAAATTTTGAATCTGAAATTCTAAGAATATTTTAAATTCTGAAAGAATCTGAATTTCTAATCCCAAAAAGTTGTAGCTCGAATCTCAAAAATTGTAAATTTAGTTTGATCAATCCTATGTGAGTTTCCGTGGGAAAATGCTCGGGATCTTGTGATCCTAAATGTACTTTTTTTCGTTCGGAACATTTTTTTCGAAATCCTAAAGCCTCCCACCAAACTACATGCAAAAAGATCCCTGCGGATTTCGCAAAATGACCAAAAAACATAGGGCGAGAAGAGCGCAGAAAAATTCCGGAATTTTTTTGTGTAAATTGTTTGTGTTTCGGTCAGTTTTCTCAAGAGGAAGAGTGGGAGTGGCCGAACTTTTTTTGATTTTCTAGGCCATTTTGAGTAGCTGGACAGGTTGTAAAAGACTCGAATTTTACATAAGTCAATATTTTTTATTTTTAAAAAGAATCGGCATATAGAGCTTCAAAATTAATATAAACATGGCTAGATTCTAGAAGTTTGAAATTTTTTGACTTTTCGAGAAGATTTCCAAAATAAGTTTTTTTGAACATATCTCCTCACTACGCTCAAAATAAGCCTAAACACGGTTTTCAGGCAAATTTGATGATTCGGTTAGAAACGCAGAGTGTCTCGTTTCTCTGACGCTCTGACCTCTTTTCAAAAACGGAGATAACTTGGTCAGTTTTCGTCCAATTTTGAAAAAATTAAAATGTTGGAATTAGGCATGAAAAGAGCTTCAAAATGAGCATAAACATGGCTAGATTCTGAAAATTTAGAATTTTCGGAATTTTTGATTTGTCAACTTTGAGTTCAATTAGCTCGGAGTTGACCGTCAGGTTGCCGTACCGTATTTCCTCTAATACAGGCCCACCCGAACCGTCAAATTTGAGCCAACTTATCTCGATTCCTATAAACGATATCAAAAAATTGCCTAATTATAGAATATTGCTTTTGTTATGAGAAATATTGTATTAGTTGATATATTTTTGATATCTTTAAGAGAAATCGAGATAATTAAGCTCAAAGTTTGAGCTCACTTCTATTAGAGAGTTTACTGTAGTTTTTGTGTTCCTTGAGAATACTAGTCAGCTGATCATTTGATACTTTTTTCAGGGTGTAGAAGACTCCACCCCTTCGCCTTAAAACTAGTCCTTTCCACTGATCTTTACACTTCATTTAGTATCAGCACATGTGAACGTTTTACCACTTCATCGAAACCGTAACACCTTCTTCATCTTCTTCTCCTTTATCGTCACCAATGTGACGTCATCACTCATATTACCTTGTTATTGTTTCAATTTGTCCTCCTCCCTAGACACTATTTGTTCCCTTTTTTCTTCACTTTTTTATCAACTAAACCTGACTTTTTCCCCGACGAATCAAGCGGAGAACACAACAGATCTCTGGACTGTTCTGCCACTTTTTTCGGTATAAAAGCCCCGAAAAAAATCTCAGAATTCTGGGAAATTTTCTTGTTTTTTTTTCAGCAAGCTTTTCTTCTTTTCAGTTTCTTCGGAACCATCGTGTTATGCTCATTTGCAGTTGCAAAAACACCTTTTCTTCTCTGGGTCTCTATTTCTCTAGTTTTTTCATTTCTCAGAGAACAAAATGGAATTCTTTTGCGTCCTTTTTTTTGAAACCCCCGACTGATTTTTGCCTTAAAGGACAAAAGAACTTTGCTAAAAAATTTTTAATAGAAGTGGAGGTGAAAAATGAAGCCAGAGAGCGCTAAAACCTTGACACCCCGGCTCCTCACACTGTCAACTTTGGGCCAAAATATCCCAGTTCCTGTAAAAGATATCAAAAATCTGTCAACTGATAAAATATTTTTGATATCATAATAAACATTTTGTCTTTTGACCACTTTTTGATATCTTATATAGCAACCGAGATTATTGAGCTCAATGTTGACGCTTTGGGTAACACTCTGACAGTGAAAATACAGTAAATAGCATCAGCTAATAAGTTTAAATTTAAATCTCAAACTCAAGTTAAAAAGCTGTTACGAATTTGTTTTTTTTCTATAATCTTTCCTATTGCTTAAAGTGCTCCCGGAAAAACAGAAAAAACATGTTTTCTATCCTTTCGAGTGCATTTTTCTCTTTTTGGGTGTTGTTTGTCACAATCCGCTTGTATTTTTTTTTTGGAACGAAAAGCAAAAAGGACATCATCTGAAATATATAGAAGACGTCAGACAAAGCATGGTCAACAATATGTATCATCTTGACGTTGAACGTAGTGCTCCGAAGTTTTTAAAGTCGTAACACTCTAATAGAGTTGCACCCTGACAGTCAACTTTGAACCTATTTTCCTTGGCTCTTGTAAGAGATATCAAAAAGTAGTCAACTGATAAAATTTTTAAACTGATAAAATGTTTATCATAATATCACCAAAATTTTATCAATAGATTTTTTATATCTTTCACAAAAAATGAAATATATGGGCTCAAAGTTGATGGTCTGCAATTAAAGATTCTACAAGTTTTAGCTCAATTATCTCGGTTCCTAGGAGAGGTATCAAAAATGGTTAACTAATAAAATGTTTATCATAATATTTCCAACATTTTATTAGTTGACCACTTTTTGATACTTTCCACACAAATTGAAAAAAAATTAGGTCAAAGAAAAGTACGTTCCACTGACAATTTGAGGTGGCGCATACAGTCTACTTTGAGGCTCAAAGTTTGAACCCATATATCTCGTGTGAAAGATATCAAGAAGTAGTCAACTGATAAAATGTTTATCATAATATCATCAGCATTTTATCAGTTGACCACTTTTTGCTATCTCTCATAGGAGCCTCAACTTCCTTATTTTTTCCCTCCAAAAAACTCCCACTCCAACCCATGATTATATATCACAAGATATGCCATTTGAAGAGGAAAAAAAATACATTTTGACTAAACTGATAAATATTTCTCTCCATTTCTAATCCCTTTTTTCCCACCTTCCAAATTTTTTTTTCTTGGAAAATGATTGTCATGCTTTTTCTTATTTTTTCCTCCCAAACAACTGATTCATAAATCGAAAAAAAAATCTGTCTGCATAATTGGAGCGGAAAAACAAATAATATTTATCAGGTATATCCAAGTCCCGCCCACTTTTCCTTTTCTGACTTCCTTTAATCTGTATTTTCACATCATTTTTTTGCTGACTTTAGAATTCAGATGGGTTTTTTGTATCTTTTGGATTTTAAGATATTTCGAATGATGTGATTTGATTCTCGTGATAATGGATATCGGACGATTCTGAGGAAATTCTGAAATCACGAGATTTTAAGTTTCTTTAAAAAGTTTTCTTGAGCAGCTTTTCGGAAGTTTGAGAATCTGAAAATTGAGATTTGAAAACCTATAATTTTCAAAATGGAGGATAAATTTGTAGGGTTTGAAAGTTTATTTAGGAATTCAAAGTTCCCGGAATTTTCAAAAAACCTGGAGCATTTGAGAGCTCTCAAGTTTTCCAGCTTTATATTTCTCTAGTATGAATCCCCAAAATCTGAAAAATCGTTAACTTCCAGAAGTTTTCTAACTAAAAATACCGTATTTCCTCTAATAGAAGGGCCCAAACACTGTCACGTTGGGACCCAATTATCTCAACCTCTGTGAAGGATATCAAAAAATTTGTCAACTGATAAAATGTTAATGATATTATGATGAGCAATTTATCAGTGGACAACTTTTTGATATCTTCGACAGAAACTGAGATAAATTGGCTTAAATTAGGTGTAAGGGTAGTTTGATCACAACGATTCGGAAAACCTGAGTTTCTAGAAAGTCAAAAACTCTGTATACCAAAGAATCACTAAATTCTATTACCATGAATTCCAACAACAATTTTGCTGAAAACAAATTTTCAAATTTTAAGAATCTTTCTAGTGTCACTTTGCTTAAGAATCTTTCTAGTGTCACTTTTCTCTCTCTCTCTCTCTCTCTCTCTCTCTCTCTCTCTCTCTCTCTCTCTCTCTCCCTACCTAAACACTCTGATTTGTTTTTGCTCCTCCAATGTCACGTCTTCTTCTCTTCTCCTCCTACTCGTTCTTCTCGTATTATCCAAAAAAGAATTTCTTCTCATATTCCACCTACACAGCTTCATCATCTTTATCACATGGCGCACCGGATATGTTCAGTTTCTCTCTCTCTCTCTCTCTCTCTCTCTCTCTCTCTCACCTCCAATTTCACCTCCATTAGTCACTAAATTCTTCTCGTTGTGCCGCCGCGCCACGGCTACAAAGAAAAAGGGTGATGAAGAAGACGTGGTGATTGGAACAAAAACAATGAGAAAGAGAGAGAGAGAGAGAGAGAGAGAGAGAGAGAGAGGGAGAGAGAGAGAGAGGGAGAGAGAGAGAGAGAGAGAGAGAGAGAGAGAGAGAACCAGTTTAACGGTGAATGCATGCAGCAAGTGTATCTTTTTTGCAAGAAATTAGTTTCCTTACGTTCTTCTCATTCTCTACCCACTCTCTCTGAGGTCTTTGGAATTGAAAATTGGTTTTTTTTTTTTGAAAAATTGGTTTTTTTTTTGAGTTTGATGAACTGTTTAAACCAGTCATTTGGCAATTTTTGGTTACTGTGAACACTCTAATGGAATATCCCCCAAGCCGCCAACTTTGAGCTCATTTATCTCGGTTCCTGTAAAAGATATCAAAAAAGGGTCAACTGATAAAACGTTCATCATAATTTGAACAATATTTTATCAAATTTCTATTGTCTGATATCTCTCACAGGAACCGAGGTAAATAGACTCAAAGTTGGAAGTTAATGAGGTAATTCTATCAAAGTGTATATGGAGTTCTTTTTTATGCTTAAAAGTTCTCAATTTTTCTAGCTTCTGCGTTTCAGCGATTCTGAAACTTTCTTTTCTTTCTTATTCCGCCTTTCCCATATCTCAAACTTCCTCCTCTCATATCCATATATAATTCCAGATGTCCTACACATCCTCAATCCAAGTGAAATGCCCATTGTGTACCACAGAAATCCCCATCCAAAGTCCAGAAGAACTCTGTGGTCACATGGCTCAGTGCCATAATATCCATACAACAATGCAATCTAAATGTTTCGAAAGTTTCGCCCATTTCCAAATTTGGTTGTCGCATATCGAAGATTCTAGATGTGATGGTGGATATTTGGGATCCAGTCAGGGACCGTCGTATGAAGATGTGAGTTAGAAACATAAAGATCTATTGATAATTCAAATCTTATTACAAAGATTTTGAAGAGTGTGTGCTCTGTTGACAATGCAAAAATTCACTACTTACAAAGACTATTTTCAGGAGTACTATCTGCTCTGTCGTCGTCGTCCAACAGCTACTTCAAAACGCTGTCGAATGTCTGATGATGTGCGAGAAACCAATTCCATCGTTGCTTGTACTGCATTTGTTCATGTTTTCGAGACAATGGACGGACGAGTTACAGTAAGATATTGTCTGGATCATTGTGGACATTCAACAGATTCGGATAAACTTCGACAGACTCAACAGGCATTCGGAACACGGTCTACACTGAAACGAAGCTCTCCATGTGCCACTTATGAATTGTGTGATGAGATTTGTGATTGTGACGTAAGGATTAAAGTTTAGATCGATTTATATGGGTTGTTTTGTTTGAAAACACTAAACTGGATGTCCCAAACTTCATCCTTCTGAAGTAATTAAAGCACCATGAACCGTAAACTTTGGGCTCAATTATCTCGGTTCCTTTGAGAGATATTAAAAATTTGTCAACTAATAGAATGTTGACGATATTATGATAAATAATTTATCAGTTGTTCACTTTTTGATATCTCTCACAAAAATCGAGATAAATTGAGCTCAAAATGAGCGTATAGCTTCTATTAAAATTCATTAGAGCAATGTGAATCTGTTTTTCTAAAAACACAAAAACTGGGTCTCCTAAAATTCATTTTTCTGAAGCTAATTGAAATAGATCCAACAGTTTATTTGCTAGTCTTCCTTTTTATGATTTGTGAAATCTTTCTTATTTTCCCCTTGTTTCAAAGCACATCTCTATGGTGACAGAAGAAATACAAACTTAAAAGTCCACGGTAATTTTTACGGAAGTACGGTTACCGTATTTCTTCTAATACAAGCCCACCCACACTGTCAACTTTGAGCTCAATTATCTCAGTTCCTACAAACGATATCAAAATATTGTCAACTGATCAATATTGGTGATATTATGATAAGCATTTTGTCAGTTGATTGATTTCTTGTATCTCTTACAAGAATCAAGATAATTGAGTTCGAAGTTGAAATTTTAGTGGGCTTCTATAAGAGGAAATAGGGTATTAGCATTGAAGCGCATTCATTAGAATTGAAGCGCAGGTATTAGCATTGAAGCGCAACACGGTGACAGTGGAGAGAAAAGAATTACTGTAGAAACTGTAGAAATCGTACTGTAAAAAATGAACTGCAGAAAAATCGAAGTTTTCTAAAAATTAAAACTCCGATATCCGATAATCCGATAATCACAAAATCTGATCAGAATTGTTTCACTCTTCAGGAATCCTCGTCATCGATGGCTTCTTCCCCTAGTTCCTCCGTTGATTTCGACGACGAAGACGCTTCAAACAACAACTACAAAATGACCGATTCGATGGACGCCTACACAGTTTCCAGTATGAGTGTTATCATTAATCAACGCCTTGATTCCACAGCCGATCGTCTCAAAAGCATCACAAAAGTCCTTCAAGAGCTCGCCGTCGATATTCGGAATTCGGATTTACACAGACAAATGGTTATTTAAAAATTGATTTGGAGATTTTGAAAAAAATAGAAAACATTTCAAAAATCTCAAATCATTTTTTTCTCCGCTTTTCGAAATCTCGGTTATCGTTTCCTTTTGCTATTTCGTCCTATTTTCTGCTTCCCCCAGATTGTCTAATAAAATTCCCGGTCTGCTTAGCCAAAAAACTTGAATTTCTAGTCTGTCACACAAAATGCACATCCGTTCCCTTTCACAGCTATTTTTCTTATACATACCGTAAAACCTGTAATAGAAGTGCCCCCTGACTTTCAACTTTGAGCCCATTTATTTAAATTTGTCAACTAATAAATTGTTGCTGCTATCATGATAAACAATTTATCAGTTGACACATTTTTGATATCTTTATCAGGAACCGAGATAATTGAGCTAAAAGTTGAAAGTCAGGGGGCACTTCTATTACAGGTTTTACGGTATTCAAATCCCTTTATTTATTTTGCACCCCCCTCTTTTTCCTAAGAAATAATAAAAGTCAACGTTCATGTATACACAATATTCACACAGAAATCCACATACATTAAATACAGATTTAAATTCGTAGAAGAAAGCGGGACGAAGAGGGATGTTTCAAGGGGATCAATCACATTTTTTGACGAGAAAAAGCGGGTGACTATAATTTTTTGTGGCGGGTAGTGGAGTGTTTTGGAAGTAAAAGGGGGTAAGTTCGAGAAGAGTTGCACTTTATGGGATTCTGATAAGATAAGGGGAGAGAATTATTTCCAGAGAGAGGTGGCCTTCATCATGAGAGACATCTTGGTCGAGGTGTCCATGCTTGGAGTCAACGATTCGGCAGTGGTTTGGCTTGTAGAGGCATCCGATCCAAGGATTCTTTGCATCTGAAAGAGGAACATATTTAGAAGTGATGATTATATCTAATGGTGATCTCCAATGTTGAGACAATTCGTAGTTATAGTCTTAAATGTGGGAATCGTCCCTTGAAAATATTTAGGTAAACATTTATGATTCTCCGGCCGCCCCATTTTCCTTTATAAAATCTCTCACCTGTTTATCTTGATCCCTAACAATGACATCGTTACGATCAGCCTTGTAATGAATACGATCGAGCATCTCGTTTTGAGCATCGACCTCCTTTCCAAGATCCTGTCCCAAACGTTGCAAGTTACGAAGATTCGCAGACATCATATCCAAGTTCTCATCGATTTGATTATCCATAGCCTCCCAGCGAGTTCCTTTGATAGCGTTGCGGCTCGACTCATTGAGAGTTCTTTGTCCAGATGGTCCGGAGAATGAGGCAGAGCTTCCTCCCGTCGATAGACTAGCCGCAGTTTCAGACAATCGAGAAGCCGATTTGGATTGTGGGACAGCTGACACATCAGCCTGTTCCTGTGGCTTCTTTGACAATTTATTCTTGAAGAATCCTCCGAAGAACGACTTGAGACTGTTCAAATTGCGTTGAGTCATCTGGGTGGTACGATGAATCTCGTCGAGATTCTTCTCGGTGTTCTCGAGTTTCTCACGCTGCTCCAAAAGTTGTTGGGCAGTAGCCGTTCCGATTTTTTCCGAGTTTTCAAGATGACGACGAGATCGTTCGGTGCTGTCGAGTGACTCTTGGAGAGTTCTCTCGATTTCACGCTCGTAGTAGTCAGCCTCATCCTCGACCGAGTGCTGTCCCATTGTTGTGTAGCTCTTGACCGGCACTGGAACATTAGGCATTTTAAATACGGATTTTTTCAATTTTTTAAAGGAATTGTCCTATAATAATTTAAGAAAAACTCACTGGTCGACGAGGCGGCACTTGGTCTGTAGTCATCGTCGAATGGATTGCGAGACATATTCTTTCTCTAGTTTCTGCAAGAAAAATGGGAAATTAGGACAGAACAAGAATTGGCAAGAGAAAGTAAAGGTATTTCAGCGGACCAAAACAAGCACCGCTCGGAACAAAAATAGTGAAAGAAAAAAACGTGTCAATGGGATGGATATATGCATTATTTATATAGAGTGACTGGGAGAAAAAGGAAGAAGACTGGGAGAAAAAAGAAGAAAACGGGGAAAATAATAATAATATACATGAGAGAGGGAGTTTAGAGCACACGACACACCAGTACGATACATAAAACTTATATAAATGGGGATGAAGAAAACATACGTGGGAAAGTGGGAAAGTTATCGAGGAACCTAGAACATGAAATTTCAGATAAAACTCATGGGATCTGGTTTTATTCGAGCTGCGAATATCTGGTTGGTGTGAGTATTTTCGATTGCATCTTCTTGATGAGTGGAACTGAAAAATAGAGATTTTGATTGGAAAATAACATGCTTGAAGGGATCACTTCGGGCCCAGAGACAACTGGAATCATTGTGTTCATTGAAAAATATGATGTCATCTACAGTATCCCTTTTAAAACCATAAAATACTTACCTGTATTGGCAACAGTCGCATCCCATCCTGGCTTTGCCCACGTGGCGTGACGAGTGTCGTTACGATCCGACATAGATGGATAGGCCCAAATGTGGTAGACGACGTAAAGCTGTCCGACTTGCGCGAAGAATCCTCCGACGTCCTGATTGGCTTCACGACGATACTGGATTCCCTTGGCCCATGCAGAAGCCCAGTCGATCATAGTTCCTGGCTGAAGAACATACGAACGAAGGTCATACACGTGGTTTGGTGGACGTTGTTCGGGTTCCCTCCAGTAGCTGAACGACTTCACTATCAGATTCTTACGGCGACCACAGAGTCTGGCGACGTCGTTATCGGCCGCACGAATTCCAGAGTCTTTTCCGTGAAGAGCAATTGAGGAATCGACATCTTCGTATCCTTTGTTGTGTCTCCACAGATGAATGGCCTGATCACGAGTTCTTCCGTATGAACAAGTCCATGATCCAACGAGTTCGATGGATGGATTCTTTGCATTCATCTCGTTCTTGTACTTTCCGAATGCATCCAAATACGCATCTTGCTCTCCTGGACGGTAGTTATGAGCTGGAAATAGGGATATGATAATATGATAAAAATGAAAAGAGCTTACTCATGAACTCATACATCAACTCGGAATTCGAGAGCAACGACGAGTGAGACTGCTTCTGCCAACTGGAAGGATCCGTATTCTGTCCCTTGAGCAACTTGCTGATCCATCCCTGTTTCTGGGGCTCCTCGGTCTCATTGTTCTGCTGACGAGAGGTGATGGAGAGTTGTCTGAAAATTGCAGTTTATTAGAGAGAGTCGGGTTTCTCGATGCGAGACAAAATTGAGCAAAACAACAAAAAAGAAGATTCCTATGAGAAAAGAGTTAAAGCAGAAAACAAAAAGAGATCCGATTTAGTCTCCAGTAGCAAAGCAGTGTGTGAAGGTTGGAATACGATCCAATTGACCCTTTTCTTTTGCGTTGTGAATATCGAGGATTGTATGGACTCCGGTAGGCATCCAAATGCTTGCGAATCTAAAATAATTATTGAAAATACAAACTTTTCTGTTTAAATTTACCCATTGGCGTTTCCAAACATGATATCTGTATCCAGACGATCTCCAAACATCACCGTTCTCTTTGGATCCACCTGGGCTCGTCGCAATAAAAAGTCTGCCATTGGTTTGTGTGGTTTTCCGAATACTGTCGGTTGCCTGTCAGTCACCGCCGTGATTGATGCTGACGTGGCGCCGGACCCAGGAATAACAACTCCTGGGACTGGTCCCGGGAAGGTGTAGTCTTGGTTTGTGACCAGATACTCCACATTTGGATCTTGCAAAAAGTTGGCTGCCTTCATAATTTTTGGATAACTAAAATGAGCATCATAGCTGCAGACAACTGCTCTGGGAGAGATGGACATATCCACGTGGTGGATGAAGTCTCCGTCGGTGTGATCACGAATACTATCCGGACCGGTTCCAAAACACTTCACACCTCCGTCGTTTTCCAGTGTTGCCTTGAGATTTTCGGTTCCAATCAGATAAATGTTCTCTCCAGCGAATTTCTCCGGCTTGCTCTTGAGATAGTCGGCGAGGACGATAGCGGGGCTGATTACATTGTCACTTCCCAGATGACCAAATCCCAGCTTCTCAATCTTCTTCATATACTGATCCAGAGTTTTCGTGGAGTTGTTAGTGAGCACAAAAACTTTTTTGGAAGGATCGGAGAGTAGAAGATTGATCCATTCGATGGCTCCAGGGACAGGAATGTCACCTGTCCAGAGGACGCCATCGGCATCGAATAGGAATGTGTCGTAGTTAGCAAGTAATTCCTCTTTGGAGATTCTATCTACAGTCATCTGAAGACACGAAATTGTGGACAGTAAATCAGGAAAAAAAATTAGGAAGTAAGGTAAATTTGTAAAAGATTCTATCGCGAAACCGGGATGGCGGCAAGGATGAAAAGTTCCTTGCAAGAAAAAATAAGAGAAAATTTATGGAGAAAAAACCATTTAGACAAATCAATCGAGAGAACGCAATTTTTTTATTGATAGAGAATGAATGAAAAGCGGTGGAGATGGAATGATTGATAACGGGTTCTTGTCATAATGCCAGACAAGAAAAGAAAAAAAACAAAATTTTATATGAAATCTCGCTTTGGGTGTTGCGAAATTTCCTGTTGAGTTAGTGAATTGTTCGAGTAGGAAAATTCTTTAAAAATTTAGAGTCGAATTCTCAAAGACAGATGGGCGGCCCTTGTTCCTTGTACTTTCAGGTCAGGTTCAGCAGATCTTTGAGTTCAACCACGCCATATTATAACCGCGACAAGAACAAGGCCTAAAAGAATGGAAAGAAGAACAAAGAAGGATGCGACGAATTCAGGGGGCGAGAGAGTGAGAGAAAGAAAAACTTCTCTTTTCCACTCTAAACCCTCTCATTTTCACATGATCTCTTCATTGACACGAAAACTGGAAGGTGTAAAACTAGCACTGAAACCAATAGCGATATGGTTTCACTGGCTTTTAAAACAGAAAAAAGAGATACGTGGTTGTTGGGGGAATTTAATCGATGATGATGAACACATGCCGGAAGAATAGTGCAAACAGGCAAAAGCCAGATGTTTGCACAGGACTTCTGCTTTGCCCCGGTACGAACTATCGGTTTATGTGACGTCAGGAAGGGAAATACGGGTTCATATTCCAGTTTTTATAAACAAAAACATTGAATTTATATATTTATACGGAAGGAAGGGGAAACAAATCAATAAAATTTGGTCGGAGAGCAGTGGTGTTTGAAACGGGTGAAGCATAAAATTTGAGTCACAAGGGAACAAAACAACAAGTTCGATAAATACGACAATTTCATTGAAAAGAACTTATTTTTAACATACAATTAGAAAGCCAAATAAAAAGTTTTTTGAACATACCTGACAGCGTTTGAGAATGCAAATTGTCGGTTGGCACACACGACCAGGTGTCGGTTCATGGCTCCCCAATCTGAAAAAGATCGATAATTGTTTTCTTCGTTTCTCTAACAAACAAGCTCGAAAAGTGAGGAGAAAAAGAAACGAAGGAGCGGATATTGTGTTGTTTCGGAGGCGACAACAACTGATGCTGCAGAGAAGAGTAGAGAAAAAAAATGAGAGGGTTTGGAAACAACGAGAAAATAGAACGGTTTTTCGACAATTTGAACAAAAATCGATTTCATGTGTTTCGCTTTGATGACAGGCTTATCTTCAACTTCACCGAACTATCAGAGAACGATCAAAAAGATAAGTAGGCAAAGAGGCCGGACCAGACCGTTTGGAGTCGAGCAATCATAACTTAAAAGAAGTTTTTATCATCATGCGAATATTGATAATAATAACTCGTCAACAGAAACAACAACAAATGATCTATAAAGGATGAAGCTAATGAATTGAGTTTAGTGTTTTTCTGAATTTTCCCGAGTCGGTCGAGCCAATGGTTGAACGGTGTTTGCAATGATGTAGGTGTTGCGTTGCGAACGGTTTCCTTCGGCATCCTTCTGACCTCCGTTGTAATGAAGTCTTCCTTGAACCATGAGACGAGATCCCTTCTTGATGGTCTTTGACAGAGACTCGGCTTGCTTTCCGAACACTGTCACCACGTGGCGTTCAGATTGTTCGACAACATTACCGTCCTGTTGTTTGTATTGAGAGTTAGTGATCATGTTGAACAGAAGATATGGTTTTCCGTTCTTAGCCTCCTTGAACATTGGATCCAAGGCGACACCTCCGACGAGTTCTACCTTGTTCAGACTGAAAAATATGATTCAGTGGAGAATTACCACAATAATATAGGTGCAATAAAGAAGAAGATTCTTAAGAATTTTAATGAAAACTTTTTGAACAAAAAGTCTCACCTGTAAGCATGTCGTCGTTCCTGCTGATGAGCCGGTTTCTCGGCGAACAAATCGTCAACCTGAACATATAAAACTGAAGTTTATGCGAGTTCTATGAAGAGCTTACTTCTTGCTTGGAAGGTTGCTCGGCAGCAAGCTTGGAAGTCAGGGACATGCATCGGACTGTCGACTTGGAGAAAGTAGAAAGTGAACGGAGCATTTTCTGTAATACTTTTCAATTTGATGAGTACAAAACTTTGAGAACAAGTATCGCTTGCTATTTATACAATAAAAATAAATACCCCTAATTAAAAAAACTGAAAATTGCATGTGAAAATGGAGAAAATTGGTTGATTTTCTCAAGTGGGGGGAGCCAAGCGGCGAATTGCAATCCCGGCGCGCGATTTTCGCAAGTGCGCCGCAGGCTTCTGTCATTTCTCCCTGCTTTTCCCATCCGCTTTGTTTTTTTTTGTCGAGTGCAAAGTTCATTGGATTCTGTGTCCTGCTCGATGGATTTTACTAAAATTTATTGATTTTGTTCTTTTTTAACAGCAGAAATGAGTGAAAGCCTGTCATTTGTGATTAATTTCCAATAAAATGATTTTTAATTATTTATTTAATTAATTAATTAATCGGTCGCTTTTTCCCGACTTTTAGCTATGTTTTTTTTTTGCTTTTCTTTGCTTTTCTCTATATCTTAAATTCTTATCTCAATGACTCATGAGTGATTGACCCATTCTGCAGTCAGCTGTCGTCTCGTGTCTTCCTGATTCAATTACTTCTCGCTGTAATTTTATAGGGTTCCCTCGCTAATTGGGCGAGATATAATCTCCTCATCGACGATAATTAGCTAACTTAAAATGACGGTTTCACTATTTTTTGGTTACTGAACTAGTTTAAACCCATGATTTTGCCTCAAAAAGTGACCTCTCCCTTACAGGTAGGTCAAGTACAGAACAGACTGTGTCTAGCTTCTCCTCGTTCGACACACTGTCTCCATCCCTTTCTTACAACGTCGGCGTCGATCAGTGGCAACTCGTCGTCTTCGTTTCATCGTCTTCTCGTTTTTTTCCTTCACATCGCATACCGAAAGAAGGTTGTACGTCCCTCCTCGCTCACATGTCCTGTAGAGCGATTCGTTTTACGAGCATTGTCACAGGAAGAACAGAGAGGCAAACACAACGACGTCTTCTGAATGACAACGGGCGGTCAGTGTGTTCTTCACCCGATCCAGAAATTGCCTTTTGTCTCCTCCTCATCTCTTGTTAAAAACGCTTTTCTCTCTTTTTGTGCTCAAACATCAAATTGTGCACCAAATTGTTTGCCAATGCTCACACTTTCTGATCTCTTGTATACTTTTTCTTTTCTTGTTCTTCAATACTCAAAAAAAAGTGAAAAAAGTTAATTTACAGAAGCCTCCCTTTCTAAAGCAGCAGCAAGCTAGAGAACTGTATCTGGGTGCCTGTTGGTGAATTTTTTGACCTTGAAATTTTCTAGAAAACGGTTTCATTGTTTCAGAATATGGTTGGCGGCGGGCGAACAGGTGTACACCTTCTGCTCGGCTTCGTCATCGGCGCCGCGTTTTATCTCATACTCTACTCGTCGCAATCGGAAGAGAATTTTAAGAACTCGCTCGCGGCGTTCACATCTTGTAGGAGTCCGGAAAGCGAAGGAGTCGATGTTTTGGAGCCATCAGCGTTAGAAAAAGGACGAATTTATAAGGATGTTTCGGAACATTGGATTGTGAGTTTTCATTATAAAAAAATCAATTGTGAAGTAGAAAAACCGTTAAAATTTTTCCAACAAATTTATATTTAGGTTCATCAAGACTCAATGCCAACACCACCAGCAAATCAAGACGCGACTCCAAAAGTAACTCGAACCCGATTCGCCGCCACAGAACTCGGAACTCGAGAACGAATCATGGCTGCAGTGATGGCTGAGTCTGCACTGGCTCTTTCTATCAATGCAACACTTGGAAGGCACATCCCACGAGTTCAGTTGTTCGCTGATTCATCTCGAATTGACAATGATTTGGGCCAGCTGACAAATTTGAGTCCCTACAAGCTAAACGGACAAAAAACACATTCTATGGTGCTCGGCCTTCTTTTCAATATGGTGAGTTTCTTTTCGTTTTGATTGATTATCGACGACTATAAAGTTGGTAAAATTGATTTCAGAATCGCCTATAAAACATGATTTGTAAGTTTCTCAAATGTTGTAATGTCTATTATCCATTTGGTGTACTTTTTATGCATTTTCCCTTCTACTCCCGGAATTACCCTTCAAATAGACCTTTTTCCAGAGCACCCACGACAACTACGACTGGTTACTTCTTGCAAAAGATTCTACCTACTTCAATCCATTCGTTTTGCTGAGAATGATTGATACAGTGAGTTTTTCACAGTTTCATATACTCTAATCAATGAATTAATTTTCAGATGAACTGGAACGAACCAGTGATCATGGGAGAGCCAGCAGAAGACGGCAGTGGAAGGTGTCGACTGGATAGTGGAGTTATTTTCAGTCAACCAGCAATTGCTTTGTTGTTGATGTGAGTCTCTTGAGTTCCTAGGAATTATTTTTAAAATTGATCTAATTCAGCAACCGTGGTGCATGTAGCTCACTATCCACGGCCACTGATGATGACCAATTAGCATTCGAGAAATGTATTCAAATTGCCACCAATCTGACATGCAAACCACTTCATCAAGGAGTCCGTTATGAAGTTTGGCGAGGGGAAAGAGCTGATTCTCCAGCTGCTCATGATTCGATTGAGGACTGGAAACACTCTGCGGCATTTAGAAGAGCTCTTGTTGTACCACGTCTTCTATCGGATGCTGACGCTTCTGCGCTTCACGACTATTTCGTACGAGTTGAGATGGCAAGAGCCGATCGGGAAATCGTTAAAATGGAAGCTGATCTTTCTAGATTGGCAGAAGAAGAGGCTCGCGAGACAGGAGAAGCTATTAGCTGGCCTCCGGCACTTCCTCCATTCGCCAAACCACCGAATCGTTATCAAGTTCCAACATGGGAATACTTTACAATGACAGAGATCTTTCGAAGTGAGCCTAATCAAAATGTTCGGCGTCTGGAAGGAAAAGATTTCGATGACGTGGCAGAAGTAGTGGTGGCTGCAAGAAATGAAGTTGAATCGGAGGAGCCGGAACTGGAGTTCGTTCAGCTTCGCAATGGATATCGGGTGTTTGATCCAAGACGTGGAATGGATTATATGATCGATTTGACTTATCGGAAAACTGTAAACGAGATGCTGGATCCAGAGAATCGGTTTGAGGGAGATAATGAGGTTGGAAAAAGATTTCCTTTCATCTAAAATTTGTTTATTTCAACTTGCAGGCTGGACACGAAGAGGGACTGAAGGAGATTGTTGTGGAGAGAAGAGTGCATGTTAGTCGAATGATTGCGAGCACACAGCTGATGAATCAGGCACCATATGTGAAAGAGGACACAGATGTCACTGTGGTTATTCCGGTGGCTAGTGAGAAAGATGTGAGTGAAAAAGAAGTTTAAAGTGGGGGAAGAAAAACACTTCGAAAAGCAATTCTTCTATCCTGACTAATTATAGCAAGTCAAATTTTTACCTTCTGAAAATAAATTACTGTAACTCAATAATATCTATTTCAGGTCCTACCAGCGCGGAAACTTCTCGCCCGTCAAGCCCGTCTCTGTCTCTCGCCAACCGAAGAAACCCGAAAGACCCGTATGGTGGTTGCCGTTTTCCCATTAGTCGACACCCGTTCAGTGACTGCTATCAGCAACGATATGGAGGAATTGAAACGACGATGCAAACGATCACTTCTGGAGACTGACGTCCTGCCGGTACGCCCAGCTGTCAGTACAGAAGGAAAAGGAACGGCGGCTGCTGCCGCGTTGGATGATGCAGTGGATCGTTATGGAGCGAATAATATATATCTGCTTCTTTCGCCACATGCAGATGTACAAAAAGAGTTCTTTGATCGTGCTAGAATCAACACCATCAAGCATTATCAAGTGTTCTTCCCAGTGCCTTTTGTTGAGTACCATCCGACGATTTCTGGAATGGAAATGACTGAAAAAGAGGAGAAAGACACTCCAACAGAGCAAGCACGCGAAGCGGCACTATCCAGATTACGAGATGGAGTTGAGCCAAAAAGGAAGAGAGCTCTAATTGTACAAAAAGAGCACGGACGGTTCGATTCACAGGATTTCACATGTTTCGCAGTATATGGAGTGGATTATGTAACGGCGAGAACGAAATTAGGGGTGAATGAGAGGAGGAACGATTTGATTGCTGCGTTTTTGGGTCAAGATGGAATTCATATTCTTCGAGCAGTGGAGCCAACGCTAAGAATTCGGTAATTTTTGATTAGTGACAATGATGAAATTTTAATAAATTTGCAGGTATCACAAACGAAGCTGTGACATGGAGAGCGTTGATACTGAAGATATTGCTCGATGTGTGGATAGTAAGAAGGAAAACGTCGCAGCAAAGGATCAGCTGGCAAAACTGCTATTCCATGAGAAGTAGACACCTCGCTCATCATCTCATTTTTGAAACATGATAATAGTACTATCTGAAAATACGGTTTCTCTCTTTTATACTGAATTCTCACTTACTTTTTCTTTCACTTTTCCCGGCGCTATTTCTCACCGGCTTGCTTGCCACCTTCCCGATGCTTTATCACCCGCGTTACTCCTTTCCCGACCCCAAAAAACTACTCATATTAAAAGAACACTTCCTTCCGCATTTGTTTTTTCCCCAGTTTTGTACAATTTTCTTTGTCAAATTTGTGCCACATTCGCCTTTTTTGAATTACTAACCAAAAAAGTACATACTATCTCGATTGCCCCTCCCTCTAATTTATGAACATCTGTGATTTTTGAGACTTTTTTAGTATTCCAATATTTTTTGCATGGTTTTGAATCCGAATAAACTTTTTTTCTTGTGATGTTTGATTGAAAAATTTTGAAAGAAAAGGTTCGAACAAAAAGTTTTGTGGCGACACTCGGTGATGAAACAAGTGATGCGCCTTTAAAGTACTGTAGTTCACTGCGGGACTCGAGTGACAGAATTCGTTTTGCGCCTTGAAATTTTCGAACGTTTTCGGATTTTTTCGAATTTTTCTACTTTTTTTGCTTTTTCACCTCTTTTTACCCTTTCTCATCATATTTCACTTCATAGAACACCTACGTAGGAATCTGAAGACTAAAATTGTGTTAAAACTCGATTGATAAGAACTTTATATGTCCAGAAAGTGAATTCTTCTTGCTTCCTCTTTCCGAACTTTTAAACAATTCTCTTGCTTTTCCTTCTTTCTTTCCGTTTGTTTCCTTGACTGCGCACCCCGAGAGAAGAAGAAGAAGTGTTGTTGCGCGCGCCGGTGTCGTTTTGTTTTCATTTTTTTAATGTTTCGAAGCATTTCGTCTGTTGCTTTCTTTTGTTTGTCTGTGCACTTTTGCATACTACTTGACTGTGTTTAGGTTGATGTATCAATCAGAAGATAACCCCGTTATCATGTTGGAAGCAACGTGGAAATATTTCCTTGTATTCTGTGTTGTCTCCGAAAGAGGGAACAGCTTTTCAGACGACCAATCGACCTTGGTCTTGTCCGGAAAGCATAGTCCCTTGTCACCTGACCTAGATTTCTGTCTGTTATGTTTCAAAAAATTATGCTACAAATCCTAAAAAACAAGAAAATTCCAAAAAATTTTTGTATTTTCCTGATTTATTTTCTCCTTTTTTTCGTGCGCTTTCAGTCAAAATTTTCCGATTTTTTTGTGGAAAAATAACAGAAAAGTCGACAAAATAAATCCGGAAAATACAATTGTTTTAGGTTACTGTAGTTGTCGTTATGGGACCTTCCACAACTTCAATTTTTTGTGCTAAAATAATGTACCTTTTTTCAAATTTCTTTTCCCGCCACTCCGTGTCAACAACCCCATTTCTTCTCTCTCTATTGCTCACCGTTACTCTACATTTCATCATAGAATTCTCATTACAGTATCCCCCCTCAATGTTGTTGACAGTTTCTTTTTCTACCATTGCGCATAGGGACATGCACCTGTTTGTGCTAGGGGTATGCACCATCTGCCAGAATTCGTATAGAGAAAACAAAGTGTGTCTAGACAGTCTTTTTAGAAACTTTGCCCTTTGAGAAGCAGCCGGGCTGAGGGGCCAAAAATATCTTTTAAAGAATCTTATGATTTCGAAAAAGAAGTCAATTCTCTTTGGTGCCCCTCCATTTCTTAAGTGCATCAATCAGCCGTGAGAAAAAAAATGGGGGAAATGGATTCGAAAAGCGTCTAAATATGGTGTCTAGACCCTCTTTTTTTCAAGTAAAGCTGTCCTTCACCCCCGAATAAATTACATATTTTCGGGACCGGAAGGCTATCATTTTGGGACTCTAGTGCATTTATAGTCAGCGCAATGAATCATTTCATGCTTTTGCTAGCTTTGGAGCTCTCTTTAGAATCAGTTAGCTATGATTCATGCAGATAGATTTAGATTCTGGAGTTACAAAATATTGTAGTCTTAGAAAAAAGAGAGACGAAATTATGTCATCTGGAGATTCATACAGATTTTGAAGTCGAAATTTCCAGATTTTGAGATTTCCGGTCTTGGGGAGCATCTGAGAAATTCCAGAAAATTTTATAAAATTTTCTACGTTTTCGAGACATCTTGCCAGATTTTTCCTTTTTTTCGATTCCTGTCCGACCAAGTACCGTAAAACCTGTAATAGAAGGCCCCTAACTTTTTTACAGCAAGCTTTTCTCGGTTCCTTTGAAAGATACGAAAATTGATCAACTGATAAATTGTTCATCATAATTTCACCAACATTTTATCAGTTGACTCATTTTTGAGATTTCTTAAAAGAGCCGAGATAATTGAGCTTAAACTTGATAGTGTGGGTGCCCTTCTATTACAGGTTTTACGGTATTCTAATTTTCTTTCCTGATCCTTGATGGGCAATTAATTCAGAATGATCATATTTTGTGCTTATTTTCTAATATTCTTCCCAAATTATTCAGTTCCATGTCATTGACTTTCTAATTTATTTATGCAGTTAATCATATGACATTAACATCTATTGGCTTTTAATGAGTACTGTAGACGCTAGGCATTTCTAATACCGTATTTTCTCCAAAACAGGCCGTCAACTTTGAACTCAATTATCTCGATTCCTGTGCAAGATATCAAACATTTCTCAACTGATAAATTGTTTATCATAAAACCATTCATATTTTATCAGTTGATAGTTTTTTGGTATCTTTAAAACCGAGATAATTGAGCTCAAAGTGGACGGTCCGGATTTCAGAGAAATGCAGAAATATCATTCCCTTCTTCAGAACTTTTGAATTCCTTATTTTCTTTTTGAATCTTGTGACCTCTAGAATTTCTCGGGTACGGTAATAAGTTAGCCTTTTCGAGATATTGTGTTTTAATGACCTACAGTATCCAAACCAAAAGATCAGATGCCAGACTCCACCTCCAGATGTTGTTGACGAGAACGAGAGACTCCGCCCACTTGTCCCCCATACTGCTCTTTTCCATTTCATTCATTTGGCGCCATCCCCTCTTCTCCTTCATCTCCATCCCGCCGTGTTGTGTTGAGTGTTCACCCAGAGATACACGAAACGTTTCTTTTTCCATGCTCACCTTCTAGCTTCTCTGCGTCTCGTTTTGACCATCTCTGAGCCCTCATGGAAAAACCATATCTGAGGGGGCACATGGAGCGAGAGAGAGAGAGAAGAGGCACGAAACAGTCTGATTTGATTCTTTGAACACAGGCAAAACGAGGGGTGGGCGCCACGCCGGCTGGCTGGCTCCTTCTCCATTGTCCTTTATGAATCATCTTCACACCGAACACCCCCCCCCCCTTGTGACCTGGAGAAAGGGACGCTTTGATATTTGAATAATTGGCTTATTGAGAGACAGAAAGAGAGCGTACACAAAGTCACATGTTGTCCTATTCCTTCGTTCTTTCTGACCCAGGAAGCTTGAACCCCCTAACTTTTGACTTTGAGCTAATTTATCTTGATTTCTGTAGAAGGTATAAACAGTTATCGACTGATAAATTGTCCATCATAAATAATATCATGAACATTTTATCAGTTAACACACGTTTGATATCTTCCGTAGGAGCAGAGATAATTGAGCTCAAACTGGACAACGTTGTGCCATTCTATTGCAGGTTTTACGGCACTCTTGTCCGAAATCTGTGCGCGTTGAGATGCTCAAAAAATGCGTAGTTATCGATAGTGTTCGATAAGGCCATTTTCTAGAGGCTCCATGCGCCTTGAAGATCATTATTCTTGAAAAACCAGAACTTCTCTCTTTTGTATGGTTTCGGTTCCCATGCATTCGTTTCTGTCGTTTTTCTCCTCTCCTCAGTTATTCAATAGAAACCGTCTCAATAGATTTTGACTCTGAAAGTTCCCCATGGGTTCCAAAATTCGCTTTCTTTTCAAAATTTCCGTTTTCCGTTTCCTTCGAGATGAATCTCCATTCTTATTTATTGCCTGAAAATATCACAAAATGTCGTCCGTTTCATGGTCGTCCTCTCCCTTTTCATCGAATCTCCCCTTTTCCAGAAAATGGCACCGCCTATTGATCCCACTCAAAAACGCCAAAAACCTCCACCGCCAAATCCCCGTTTCGAGCAAATCATTGCTCTCGCTGCCACAGGACATCTGAAGATTGGGAACTTCATAATCAAAGAAACGATTGGAAAAGGAGCATTCGGAGCTGTCAAAAGTGAGTTTTAGATTTTCGGGGATACTGTAGGACATACCGACTTTCAGAGGGAACACACATTGAAACCGGATACAATGTCGCTATCAAGATTTTGAATCGTGGAAAGATGAAGGGCCTTGGAACGGTTAACAAGACTCGAAACGAAATCGAGAATCTCCAACTACTATCGCACCCCCATATCACCCGTCTCTTCCGTGTGATCAGTACTCCATCGGATATATTTTTGATTATGGAATTGGTGTCTGGTGGAGAGCTGTTCAGTTATATCACTAAGAAAGGAACGCTTTCCATCAAAGAGAGCCGACGGTACTTCCAGCAAATCATCTCAGGAGTCAGCTATTGTCACAAGCATATGATTGTTCACAGAGATTTGGTAATTATTTTTTCAAAGATGCTCAATTGATAATTCCTTTTTTAGAAACCCGAAAATCTCCTTCTCGACAGCAAAAAGAACATCAAAATCGCAGATTTTGGACTATCGAACTACATGACCGACGGTGATCTTCTCTCCACTTCGTGCGGATCCCCGAATTACGCAGCTCCAGAACTCATATCGAACAATCTCTACGTTGGACCAGAAGTCGATTTATGGTCGTGTGGAGTTATTCTGTACGCTATGCTCTGTGGAACACTTCCGTTTGACGATCAGCATGTTCCGACACTCTTTAGTAAAATTAAGAGTGAGTTTGGGAGCTTTTCAGGGGGGGGGGGTAGAGTCCGAATCATATCAAGCTCTTTCCAGGCGGGCGCTACATGGTCCCCTACTCGATGGACAAACAAGCTGCTGATCTGATCGCGTCGATGCTTCAAGTTGACCCAGTTAAACGAGCTGATGTGAAGAAGATTGTCAATCATAGCTGGTTCCAAGTAGACCTTCCATACTATCTGTTCCCAGAGTGTGAGAATGAATCGTCGATTGTGGATATCGATGTAGTTCAATGTGTGGCGGCGGTGAGTATTATTGTTGTACGGAAAAGTTGGAGCTGTGGAAGAGAAACGGCCGTGGCCGTGGCTGAATATCCCATAACGACAATTACAGTAACCATGGTCTAATTTTCGGTGTTCATTCCCTCGATTTTCAAGCTTTTCCAGTCGACAAAATTCGGTGAAAAACAAGAAAATAAATCCGGAAGATTTAATCATTTTCAGATTAAGGTAGTTGTCGTTGTGGAACTTTTGACTACGACCACCTTTTCCGCGGCTCCGAATTTAGGTACATAATAATTATTACAAACTTCTTTTTCCAGAAATTCGATGTCAAGGAGGAAGACGTCACTGGCGCTCTTCTTGCCGAGGATCACCATCACTACCTCTCGATTGCCTATCGACTCGAAGTGAATCACAAGAGAAACGCTGATGAGCATTCACAGAGGGCGATGGATGATTTTTGGGAGATTGGGAAGAATATCAAGATGGGTACAGCCTCTTTGCCGACCAGTATCAAGAGTAAGACCCCTTCTAAATTTTCAAAAACATTCTAATCCCCTTTTCTAGCAGTCAACAACGTTGGTAGAAAAATTCTCGAAGGACTCAAGAAAGAGCAGAAACGAATGACATGGAATCTGGGAATCCGCGCTTGTCTCGACCCTGTGGACACCATGTTCCACGTATACAGAAGTCTTCGAGAAATGAACATGGAATGGAAGATACTCAGCAACTTTCATATCATAGCCAGATGCCAACCGACGCCGACGAATCCAGAGCCGATAAAGATGTCGCTGCAATTGTTCAGAGTTGATAAGGATAACGGTGGTCGAGGATATATATTGGATTTCAAAGCATTGACGGAGGATGATGAAGGTAGGGAGGACATTGAAGATAAGGTATCAGATTTACAGTATTTCTCTCAAACGTTAACTGGGAGCTCAGTTATCTCGGCTCATGTGATAGATATCAAAAATGTGTCAACTGGTGAAATGTTTGTGATATTAATATAAAGAATTTATCAGTTGCCCGCTTTTTGATATCTTTGACAGGAATCGAGATAATTGAGCTCAAAATTGACGGCTGGTGTGGACTTCTATTAGAGGAAATCGGTACCGTAAAACCTGTATTAGAAGAGCCGGTCCTTCTATTGTTCCAAGGTACCTTAAGGGTAATTCTATTAGAGAGGCCCTTCTAATACAGGTTTTACGGTATATCAGATTTACCGTGTTTAGTCTAATAGAAGCTCGTCAACTTGGAGCTCAATTATCTTGGTTCTTGTGAAAGATATCTACAATTTGTCAACAGATAAATTATTGGGCTTCTACTAAAGAAATTACGGTATATGATTATGCTTTGAATAAATATGAATTTACAGCGTTCCCACCGAGCCGCTGCCGTTCACGTGCTGCCTCGATTTCTGTCGGACCTTCAACGCCCTCTAGATCAAGTGGAAATTTCAACGGAAACAACTCTCGACCGACCTACGCCACACCGCTCGTATCTCCACTTATGTCTCCAGCGACTCCATGTAAGCCCCTAACGCAAAGAAAAACAGATCTGAAATAGCTAATTTCAGCCATTACAATCCCAAAAGTTCGTGTTGATGAGGCAGAAGCTTCACTGAAATCGTCAGCTACTAATAGCTATTATATGGGAGATATCGATGTATGAAGCAATCCTAGAGAGTTCGAAAGAGCAACTTTTATTTTTCAGAATTCAATCGAGAGCCTTGACGAAATCTCCACGAAGTCGTTAGAACCCGAAGAGATTACCCGCTCCCAAACGATGGAATTCTTCGCCACAGTTCACATCATAATGCAGGCTCTTCTAGCTGAATAAGTATCCAGAAATATCAACATCTTCTCATATAACATGACTGTACAATTATGTATTTCTCTCTCCTAATTATTTTTCCTCCAATTATTTTTTTTTTCTTATCCGATTTTCTTCCATATTTTTCATTCCGCCCCCGTTTCCTCTCACCAGGTTGCCTTCCCGTATTTTTTTGTTTAAAAAGCATGTACTTAATTTTGTCTCGAGCCCATTTGTGGATTTTCATGGGATTGTATTCGACTTAACAGTAGTAGTGTGGTATTAGAAGTTACATAATAAAAACAGAAGCTTCAGAAGGAAAGAAGTAATCTTGTTCTCATTGGCACAGCTTGAATTTTTTTGAATTTTTTGTCATTTTTTCTGCTCTTTTTTCCAACTTTTTTCCGTAATTTGAGAGCAGCAACAGAATAATAATGATAATTTAGAGGTAAAAAAGATAAGAAAAGAGGAAGCTGATAACAACTGCTTCGTGGGGAAACAGACTTCCTGGACGACTACTTTTTCTCATTTTTCATTTTATCAAACTTTGATAACCACACAATCTCTTGCTGCTGAAAATGATGCGAATAGGTATTGATGAACGATGATGCGATTGGTTCGAGTCCTTTCTCAGCAACCGCTCACCCAACGTCAAGGTTAATGGCCTAATGTCATCCAGCGAGATTGTTGTCAAATCCGGAGTCCCCCAAGGAAGTGTCACTGGCCCCTTTTTGTTTCTGATCTACATTAACGACTTACTCGGCCTCTTTCCTCCCAATGTTCATGTCACGGCGTTCGCCGACGACCTAAAAATAACCGGTTCCGACCCATTGGATATGCAGAGAAGTATCGAAATCGTCGAGCACTGGTGTGACATCTGGAGACTCAAACTAGCCGAAAATAAGACGGCCGTTATGCATTATGGTAAACGCAATCCTAAGACAGTTTACTTTATTAAGGGATCCCCCATTACTCCGCATCGCTCATTCAAGGACCTAGGTATACTAGTTGATGATCAACTTCAATTCGACAAACAAATCAATCTTATTGCCTACTCTGCTAAACTCAAGTCCCGCCAAATACTGAAAACGTTCCAATCGAAAAACCCTTGTTTATATTTCCGTCTCTTCGACACCTACTATTAGACCGGTCCTCGAATACGGTTGTGAACTTTTCGATCCATCCAATGCCACACTTGCCAATAAACTAGAATCTCCTCTTCGTTTTTTCACCAGAAAAGTCTTTCAGAGATGTAATATGCCCTTCAATTCATACACCGATCGCCTATCCCAGTTCTCTATGCACCCTTCATCGCCGCACCCTTCTAGTTCTTCGTACCTATCACAAAATTGTTATAAACTCATACCATTTTCCCTCTATGTCGTCCTACATTCTTCCCAGCCATTCTAACAGAGCCCCGTATTTGTTCAAAATCAACGGTCAATACTTTGACTGCTTCCTTCACAGAAACTTGTCTATGTGGAACCGTGTATGTAAGGTGATAAATTCTAAGCTCAGTCCGGTGGCGTTTGCTAAGCGAGTAGGAGCGATTCCTTATGATATTCTGATCCCTCCCACTGACCTACAGGACTCTAGTCGGTCCGTCTGGTCATTTTAATTTTTTATTTGTACAGGTCCCATTTCTTGCCAAATTATCTATCGATTTCCCCCATGCATTGCAAATAAATATATTATTATTATTATTATATACCAAAGTCAAAAATTGGAAAGATTTGAGCTGTCTTTTGGCAAATCAATAAGCACTAGAGTTTATTATAAATCAAAAAGAAAACAGAACAGATTAGCAAATGAAAGAATACAATTTACAGGGACTGATTACCGTAAGACCTATAATATAAACTTTTAGTTTTGAGCCAATTTTGCTTGGTTCCTGTGGAAGTAATCGAAAAGTTGTCAACTGATATATATTTTTTATCAAAACATCACAAAAATTTTATCAGTTGACATATTTTTGATATCTTGCATAGTAATTCAGATAATTGAACTCAAAAATGACTCGGCAAATCAATAAGCACCATATATTATACATATAAAAAAAACAGATTAGCGAATGAAAGAATACAATTTACATGGACTGATTGCCCTCAAACTTATAATAGATGGTCTCTCCTAACTTTTAACTTTAAGCCAATTTATTTCGGTTCCTGTCAATGATATCTAAAGATTTGCCGAAAGACAGCTCAAATCTATCCTATTTTTGACTTTGATAAAATGAAAAATGAGAAAAAGTAGTCGTCCAGAAAGTCTGTTTCCCTACGAAGCAGTTGTTATCAGTTGTCTCTATTCTTATCTCTTCGACTCCAAATTATCAATATTGATCACTCTTAAATCACTGAAAAAGTTGTAAAAAAGGACTGCAAAAGGACAAAAAAATTGGAAAAAAGAACAGAAAATTCGAAACAAATCAAGATGTGAGAACGAGAACAGGATTACTTCTTACCTTCCGAAGCTTCTGTTTTTATTATGTAAATTCACACTGTTAAGTCGAATACAATCCAATGAAAATCCACAAAAGGGCTGTTTTCACTAAATGCTCTGACATGTAAAAATTATGGCTGAAATAAATATCTCGATTTAACATAATCTTTTAAAAAGTTAAAAAAACACACACATTTTGATAGAAAACTTGAAAAAAAATCAACAAATTTCTTGAAACTGGCATTATTTCACATCATTTTTTATTTGTGTTTTTCTGATTTTTTCTATTTTTACATCGTCATAACCGGAAAACTTACCAACAAACCTTTATTCCACCTGAAAAATTGTTATTCCGAATATTCCGAAATAAAATAGAAAAATCCCAATTTCAAGAAATCACTGATTTTTTAACAATTTTTACCAGTTTTTTTACTAAAAATAAGTTGTATTTTTATCAGCCAAAATTTTTTGAATTATTATGGGCGCACACAGCATCCTATATGCGCGCCTAGGCATATACCATACCCCGCGATTACCCTGTGTACAGTATTTTCTGTAATCGAAGACCACCCAAATCGTCTACTTTAAACTCAATTATCTCGAAGCCTGTGTAAGATATCAAAATTTTGCTAACTGATAAAGTGCCGGTAATGTTAAGATAAACAATTTACCTTATTTTTAATTTTGTGATATCTTTCATAGGAATCGAGATAAGTGAGCTCAAAGAACACGAGTGGGCTTCCATTAGAGGATATGTGGTATATATATATATAGATTACCCTATGTATAATGAATATATTTGATTTGTTTCCTTTATCTTTTAATATGCAACACATAAATTATACTGCCCCAGTTTGTATTCATTGCCACAGCTCTTTCATATAATATTCTCGACGAATTTTTTCTTCTCCCCTTGACAGCTTTTGCAGTTTTTGCAGTTCTCGAAAAATTTCCATTTTTGTTGAATTTTTTCTTGTGCAAAAAGAACTGCAAGCTTTCCCATACCGTATTACTTGACACGTATCATCTTTCATGTCGTTCTTTTATGACGACTCAACCATAAACTGTTTCGTTTCGATTCCATTCTTTTTGTTATGCTAAACGAAAGAAAGCTTTTTGTTAGTTTATAAGGTTTTTTCATGTCTTTCACAGTTCTCAAGATACTGTAGTTCCTCTAATACAAAGTTTATCCTTGTTATTCTAGCTCCTGTGAAAGATACAGATAATTTTTTATTCCAGTTCCCTCCGCCTTTGATTCACTTTTTATGTGTTTTTATTCGTTTTAAGTTGTAAGGCTTTTTTTCAGGAATTAAGATACAGTATCCGGCAGCGATAATTAAGATGTGTCAGAGCAACCTGCTCGAACATAAAAAGTGTTATGAATCAACCACAGAAAATGGGTCTGTGTATGTTCATGGTTACGTGATTTTCCCGAGGACTAAGCAGTCATCTACTCTTTCCGAGTCACCAAATTAGATGTGTCATATTGTATGACTCATGTAATCAGAAACAACTGCTTACCCATATTTAATGATCGATTCGTAACACACCTTATGTTCGAGCATGTTACTTTGTCACACCTTGATGGCCTCTGTCTGGTACTGCATCCTGACTAGTGTGTCGTCCCGCGAGACTTAAGTTCAGCAAAAGTTTAGAGGAATCAGCGAATCTCGAAAAAATCAGCTACATTCGTTCAGCTTTGTTTCGCACAAAGTTCAGAAAGTTTCATTTCTGGATTTCTCGGAAAACTCAAGTTCAGCATTTTCACGTTTTCGCATAATTTCGCAATTTCCCAGCTCAGCATTTTCCAGCAAGCTTTTCTTTTCTCGCAAAGTTTCGCAAAGTTTCGCGAGAAAAAAGGAAGTTCAGCGAGACAGACGTGATCTTTATGGAAAGGGGGTTTTTAGGTTCCAACTCAGAAGTATGTCATCTTTAACCTGTTGTCCCCTCTCACAATATCTATTATCCCATGAAAAAGTTTGATCAGTTCAATTCAAGCCCGAAGTTCGGAAATTTGGAAAAAAATTTCACATTTCAGAAAATCTTAATACAGATTTTCATAAATTCGAAACTTTCGAAAGTTGAAATTCTAAAAAAACCAAGAAAATCCAAATTTCGAACATTCGGATTGTGAACCATTTTGACACCCAGAAATGCCAAATATCGTATAATATATTAGAGGTATAGAGTTTTCGAATTCCTGAAAGTTTATTAAACCCAAATCTCCAAATTGGACTTTCGCAATTTCCAATGAGAACCTCACAAGGGTAGTGTTTTCAGACAGGCTATGAGAATTTCTTGAAGCTTTGGTCTATGGTACTTTAACCACTATTATTCATGTCTAGGTTAATAAATATCAATTTTATGTCACCATGCCCTTTTTTGTCTATTTATTCTCTTTTTCATTCTTTTTTCTTTTTATTCTTCCACGTATTTTTTACGTAATAAATACAATACAGTACAATACAATACTTTCGAACATGCTGATTACGGTGCTGTTTTTTTTCCCGCGTCCACTCACAAAAAATTTGTGACCTTTTAAGTGATTTCAGTACTAATTTCTCACTTTTGGAGTGAACTTTTGAAGGAGTTCAAAACAATTGTTCGGAGTTTTTCGTATTTAATTCGTACTTTTAAACGTTTTTCTACAATCTGACAACGTTTGCTCATATTTCAAAAAAAGTTTTTTGAAAAAAAATTCGCCATGGGGTCCCCCTTTAGAAATTTTTATAATTTTTTGAAAATTCTTCAAATGTGCTAAAATGATTTTTATACATAGAGAAGTGTAAAAATGAGTTTTTTCGTAAGAATTGATATCCTAAATACTTCTGGAAATCACAAATATGTGTTTTCTTTCCACCCACTAGCAATCAAATCTTTTGATAACAAGGATTTACATAATTCCTGACTGATTTATTACTGTTCCGTTGGCATTTCTGGGTATCAAAATGGTTCACAATCCGAATGTTCGAAATTTGGATTTTCTTGGCTTTTTTAGAATTTCAACTTTCGAAAGTTTCGAATTTATGAAAATCTGTATTAAGATTTTCTGAAATGTGAAATTTTTTCTCGAAATTTCCGAATTTAGGGCTTGAATTGAACTGATCAAACTTTTTCATGGGATAATAGATATTGTGAAAGGGGATCAACAGGTTAAAGATGACATACTTCTGAGTTGGAACCTAAAAACCCCCTTTCCATAAAGATCACGTCTGTCTCGCTGAACTTCTTTTTTCTCGCGAAACTTTGCGAAACTTTGCGAGAAAAGAAAAGCTTGCTGGAAAATGATGTAACGAGAAAATGCTGAGCTGGGAAATTGCGAAACTATGCGAAAACGTGAAAATGCTGAACTTGAGTTTTCCGAGAAATCCAGAAATGAAACTTTGCTGAACTTTGTGCGAAACAAAGACTGAACTGGTCTTGCTGAACAATTTGCGAAAACATGTAAAATTGTAAGACTTGTTTCGCGAGACGACACTCTAATCCTGACTCTCGAATAGATAATTACCTCGGTTGATTGCCCATTGACTGTCTTAAATGACACAGGATGTTTTTTTGAGGGCTGGTGGTCCGGTAAATAGTCAGAACCCACCACGGGGATGATGGAGCATTCTGAACCTAAGGACTACCAAGCCATTGTCCTCCCTAACCATGCACCTGACGTTCCCTGATAATTCGAATCGGGATTTTTCATTCCACTGCTCTGATTGCAAGAGTTCTCTCTCTCTCTCTCTCTCTCTCTCTCTCTCACGATCAGACAGACTCCTCATAAAGACGAGCAATTCCTGGAGTGAGCTTCACTGCCTCTATATGATGCATCGACACCTTAACAGGAGGAACTAGAAGCGGTGTAGGCAACGAGTCACCCGGTCGGCATACAGGACACAAATCGTCCCAGGGATATCAGTCCCTCGAGAACAAGAATTCAATTTTTTAATGTAAGCTGTCAATCATTGTCACAAAGAAAACAGCAAAAAGTTTTTCGAGGATGCCAAAGACTGAATTGACTTTTGGGAAGGACGATTCCAAAAACCATGAATTTCAAATGAAGAAGACGTTGAGCAAATAGACTCTACCCAAAATTTCTTTTGTTGAAAGATGGTGTGAGTTTTTTTGCATTAACCTATTTTGTACGAAACGATAAGAATTTTTAGTAAATGTCGCGAAAATTCTCAGAAACCGAAAACGGAAAATTTTCCCTGATTTTCCAAATGCACACATCTGAGAAATCGCAGTTCTTTCCTGTTACTAATCGATTTTTGCCATTACATTATGAAAACGATTAGCATAAAATTAATTTTTATAACTGCCTTGGAATATACTGAAACTTTGTCCCAGATACTTTTAAATTTCAAAGCACTTCTAGAAACTAAAAAGTATACATACCGTGAACCCTCTAATAGAATGCGCTCCCCCAAACATCAACTTTGAGCCTATATATCTCATTCCCAGTGAAAGATATGAAAAAGTGATAAACTGATAAAATGTTTATCATAATATCACTAATATTTTGCCAGTTGACCACTTTTTAATACTTTTCACAGGAACCGAGATAAAGTGTCTCAAAGTTGAAAATTAGAAATTCGTTCTAGTAGTGTGTTTTATGCATATTAAAATGCGGCATAAACCGCCGAAAATTGTCAAAAACTACAGTAACCCTAGTTTAAAATATGGGGAAATTGATAAGATAAAATAAGGCTCTAGAATGCTCCTTTAAAATTTGAACTTGCTTTGATTTCTAATATATACTTGAAGCTGGGGATACTGTAGTTTTTTTGGGTTTCTGGCGATTGAAAATATTATTTTTTGTATTGTATAGTTTGCAAGCCTAAATTGTATTTATCTGATAAATTGCAAGAGATCTTATTGTTGTAGATCAATTCAAGGCTTTTTGGAAATCCTATTTGATCTACTATTCCCATCCAAATCATATCTGCTTTATTTTCCGTTTTCAGGAAGCAATCCTTCTTTGTTTTTCTTCTATGTCCCAGTCACACTACCATCAGCTGACCTGATCCCCATAGAAACGTCATAGACCTCTCTAATTTGTCCATTTTTCTCTTCTTCCCTCTGCCACCTGTTCTTTTCAAATTCTACTATTAATTTTGGATGGTAACCTTTCCGGAGGGCATTCTTCTTCTTCTTGCCACAACCCTTCTCCTTTTTGTTGCCCTATCTCTCTTCTTTACGTCTATTCTCTAAATTTCTGAATCTCTCATTCTTGCACATTCTCTCTCACTCGTTTCCCTCCACAACATTCGTTATAAAAAGTTGAGGAGGCAATGAGAAGAACGCAACGGTTTTTTTTCGTCTTACACAAAATGGAACCCTTGCTCTTATCTTTTACTTTTTTCGTTGTAAACTCTATATTTTTCGCTTTAAACTCCAGCTAAATACTAAAATTTTGTCTTCAGCGATCTTCAAAAGATCAAAAATAGATTTAAAGGATGGTTAACAAGTTCAAAATCAAGGCAAAGCCAAAGAAGACGAAATCGGCTGGAACCGAGAAAATTAACGAAGAAAAAGTGAGTTTTTCTGAAATTTTTTTATGTGAAAATGTTGAAGTTTTGTTGGATGAAAAATTTCAAAAATTCATTTTTTTTTCATTGATACCGGAAACCTCAACATCCGAAGAAAAAGAAAATAGAGTGATTGGAATCAAAAAAGAAGAAAAAATCAAGCAAGAAGATAAGAAAGAAGAAGAATTAGAAGAAACCGATTCAGTGGTGAGCTATGTTCCAGAATTTTCGTAGCGTCATGTTTTAATGGTTCCCGTTTTGATGATAATTTTTAAAATTCAAAATTTCAAAAGTTTAATTAAACTGCTCGCCAAATTCTCGATGTTCTATGAAAATCTAGATAAAGCGATTCTAAAGTTTGAATATGAATTTTCTCTCAATTCTCATTAGAGTGCATTTTCGTGCCCTTACTATTGGCTAACAGCCAATTGGAAATGGTTAAATTTGAGTCTCTGAAAATGCACTTTTTGTTTGTTGGATGGTTCTGAAAATTTTAAAACCGGTCTTGGGATATATTTTTATTTTAAAGCGCCTTTCGAACCAAATGATACAAACCGAATAAGCCACTTTGGAGGAAGCTAGCTGCTCTTTTTTGAAACTTTCAGATCAAACATAAAAGCTCGAAGAACATTTCTAACGTCTAAAAATTGTAGTTACTTTCTGAAAATGGGCAACAATTATTTGGGGACAACTGAATGAGAATGCGTTGCAAAGAGAAAATAAACTGAATTTATAAAAAGAGCATGCTAGCATTGATTCTAGGGTCTTATCAATTCATAATTGTATTCCAGTCTTCCGAAAACGAAGGAGATGACCAAAGACCCTGCGAAGATTCCAAAAATTCGCCCGATTCGGGATTCTCTTTTGAATCTGGAGAAGAACAGGTGGCTCCGGAAACCTCAACGTCCCAAGAACAAGAGAATGGAGTGATTGGCTTCGAAAAAGAAGAAGAAAAAGAAGAGACCAATTCAGTGGTGAGTTTTGTTTCGGAAGTTTTGAAGTGTGATATTTTCTCAAGAAAAGAACATCAATTAATAATTTTATTCCAGACTTCCGAAAACGGAGCAGATGACCAAAGATCAGTTAAGTACCACAGCCACCAGAATTCCGAAAGATCACCGGATTCAGCACCTGGTTCCAGTTTTGAGGTCGTTTCAACACAATCCTCTGATTCTCCTTCCACTGTTAGTCAAGAATCCGATGTGGTCCAAGAAGAAGGAAGTGGACTACAAGAGGTTTGTTTCTTATTTATTTTTCGAATAAACTTATCAATTTCTTGTTTTCAGGTCCCTGAAACGGACGATGGTAGGACGGATCCTCTACAGAAGGCAACGGAACCAGACGTTTCAGAAGAACGACCGGAAATCCTTCACGACGAAGATGGAGTTGTTGCTCCAGAATCAAGAGCTGAAACCAGTGATGAAGAGGAGAAGAACGATGAGAAAATCCGTGAATATTTGCTCTGGTGGGAGAAGAAAGACAAAGTATCTAATGTTCAAGAATCCACTTCTAAACCTCCGAACACCAATTCTACCGAGGAATATGTAGTTGAGGAGCCAAAAGAAGCTCAAGCTTCTTCAAATCTGTCAAACGAATTTCCAAGAAACGAAGATTCTGAAAGTCGGAACTGTCAGAGCCACATCAGCAATTCTTCCGAGAATGCTGTAGCACCCACAGAAATTCAAGTTTCTCAAAATTCATTGAATGAAATTTCAACGAAAAAGGATTCTGAAAGTCAAAGATGTCAAGGCCAGAACTGGATTCAAAGCCAACAATCAAGTCGAGCTCCCAATCCATTCCAAAATCTATATACCAACCAATCCAAAGACCGAAATGGCTATCAACCTCGTCCAACGGTTCGTCGATATGTTTTTCCCCGTCTTAACAAGCCACCTCCAAATCAAGCTGAGGCATCGGACACTGACGAGGACGACAGTTACGATGACATGCCAGACATGAAGTCAGTTGAAGAGAGAGAAGCTGAAATTCGGAGAGCGGAAAGAAGCCGGCTGCCAGCTCACGATCCATTTGGAGGACCAGCACCAAGAGCGGATGTTCCCCGATACTCATTCGGAGTTCAACAGCAAGGTTACTCTGGAGAAAGAAATCCAAGTCCTGAGGGATCTTGGTCACGAGGATCTGGATCGGATAGAGGAGGAAATCGGATGTACCAAGAGCCAGATCGACAAGATTATGAAAGAGATGAGCGAATCCAAGGACGGAACAACTATGGATACTCTCGAAATGGCTCCAACTCGAATCTACAAGACAGAGGTCCGTATCGTGATCAAAGTTTCAATGATGTTAGAAACAACTACGGATACCAAACGGGGCCTCCAGTACGGGATCAACGGAGGGATTACGGTAGATCCGGAGAAAGAAGGGATCCTGGATATCAAGACGGTAGGAAACAACGAGATCGCTATGATGGGTCACAAGGATCATATAGAAATGAATCACCGAGAAAAGGATATGAAAATTGGAACCAAAATGAGAATCGAAGAGACGAAAGAGACTCTAACCGAAATTACTGGAATGGCTCACCTCGGCTTCCAGAGAACCAAATAGGTGACAGAGAATTAGTTGAAGAGGCTTTCCGGATGACTGGAATAGGTCGTCAGTCGTCCAGCCAGTCTTCTGGAAGCCAAAAGTCCGAAATGAACTTCCAGCAGAGATCCCAAGGACCAAGTCAGCCTGCTCCGTCTCCACAACGTCGACCACAACCATCCCAAGCTCCGGCGCAATCTTCTCAACCAACCCCCATCCAACGCTCAGAAGATTCCATCAGACGATATTTTGGTGATCCGACGCCTGTTCCAGCTCCACAGAACCGGATTCAACCAGTTGTCTTCAATCGGAATCCCATTCCTCCTCAACCACCACGTCCGGAAAGTCCGAAAAAGGAGAAGCAGTGTGAGAAGAAGAAAGAAGAGTCAAGAGAAGAAGCAGAAGCTCGACGAAGAGAGGAGATTCGGCTGAATGAGGAATTCCTTCGAAACGAGGGACAACGATATGTGGAGGAGGATCGACTGGTGAGTTGAGAGATAATAACTTAAAAACTGTAATGGGAAAGCCCCAACACTGTCAACTTTGACTTCAATTATCTCGATTCCTATAAGAGATATCACAAATCTGTCAACTGATAAATTATTTATCATATTAGGTTGGCGGGAAAGTCTTTGTCACTTTTTCAATAGTTTATTTCTCAAAGAAAAAATAACCGAATAATTAATTATATTGTCCATCATTATCAACAACATGTCTCCAACGTTCCCTCAATTTATGGATTCCATTGCGGTAGAATCCAGCCGGGCGTGAGGCAAAGTATTGTTTGAGTGCCGCTTCGACCGCTCCACGGGAATTGAAGCTTCTTCCTTCGAAGGCACGTGTCATATCGCCAAATAACCAATAGTCGGAAGGAGCAAGATCAGGAGAATACGGGGGGTGAGGGAGAACATTCCATCCATATCCCATCAGCTCCTGCTTCACTTGTTTCGAAACATGTGGGCGAGCGTTATCATGTTGATAGTACACTTTCTTGTCTTTCAGGGCCGAACGGTCGACTGCTTTCTTGAGGTTTCGTAGTTGAGTAGTGTAGAGGTCTCCAGTTATTGTTTTGCCCTCGGGCAGAAGTTCCCAGTAGATGGGGCCGTCCACTCCCCACCACACAGAGAGCATAACTTTTTTCGGATGAAGGTCGGGTTTTGGGACATCCTGTGGGCTCTCTCCTTCTCCAACCCACTGGGATTTCCTGTGGTGATGATTATCGTAGAAGACCCACTTCTCATCTCCGGTTATTAGCCGGTCCAGCCATCGATCGCCCGCGTGGAGAGTGAGAAGAGTAATCGAATCGTCGACTCGGCGGTCAAGGTTGGCTTGAGTCAGGTGATGAGGTATGAATCGACCAAAAAGTTTTCTCATTCCAAGAGACTTCAAACCTTCAAGGACTGTGCTATGGTGAACTCCGAATGTGACAGCTAGTTCACGGCTAGATTGAAATGGATCCGATTGCAATGCGTCTTCAGCTTGTCCAAATCCAACTCACGGGGTCTCCCAGAGCGATCCTTTTCATCGAGCGAGAAGTCATCTTTTTCGAAACGATGGAACCAATTGCGAATAGTATTGTAGTGAGGGGCATGTGTGTTGTACACATTCTTCAAGAAAGTTTCCGAATCCTTCATCGTGGTGTGAGATAGGAAGAGGTAAATCAAAACATGTCTGATGTGAATAGCAGTGGGAACAAACATATCGTTTCAATTACAGATGAGGAGCAGGGAAGGAAATGGGGACTTGTTTATATGGAAGGTTCTTATCACCTTGTTATTCACTAGAGTCGATATCATACACAGCCTCCATATACGAGAACAGTGATTAAACAAACAGAGTGACAAAGACTTTCCCGCCAACCTAATAATATCACCTATATTTTATTAGTTGACGAAGTTGTAACATCTATCTTAGGAATTGAGATTATTGAGCTTAAAGTTTACTTATGATTTAGCTCAAAAATAAAGAGCTGAACCGTCAGCTTTGAGATCAATTATCTTGGTTCCTTCAAAAGATATCAAAATTTTGTCAACTGATAAATTATTTTATCGGTTTACAAAATTTTGATATCTCTTATAGGAACCGAGATAATTGAGCTCAAAGTTGACGGTTTGGGAAGAAACTTGATCTTTGTACAGGGTGGCCGATAATGATAGGACGTTTCTAACCGTCTCCCATTATTCTGAAAAAACGTTCTTTAACTGTAATAACTTTTCCAAAATATTCAAAATATATAAGAATTTTCGTTTTATAACAAGTAATCATTATTAGAATCACGAGCTTTGACGGAAGCATCCAAACGCATCATAAAAAATGTGGCTGTGCGGCGGCTGTAATTGTGGATTTCGATCCACAACACGGTGCTGAGTCTTACGGATGGTTTTAAAGATGTCCAACAAACTTCTGAGTGGTCCAGGGCAAGAAGTTATGCTTCAAAACTGTCATTTGGTAGACCTGCGAGCCGATTTTTACCAAAAATCAGAAAATTGGTACTGGTTGCCGTGATTTTATCCCAAACCTTGACATTTTTACGGAAAAAGCAATTTGAAGATAAAATACGTTCAGGAGAATTGTTATCATCTTTTGGTAGCAATTGTTCCTGATCCCGACGGTTTGGAAGAGTTTCATCTGTGAAACCCTTTACGTCACACCAGATCTCGTCTGACAACGCCGCAGGTGTGGTGTGAAAAAAGTTTTTTGCATTTTTCGTGTCTGCAGGCGCCGGATGTATGAGAAAGGAACAGTTTATGGTAGACACGGTAACTACAAGTGTTTAAATCCTATTTGACGATTTTTGAACCCTGGACCTTGCAATACCAAGGTCAAAACCCATTTTTTCGCCGAACTTGAAGTTTGATGATCCCCCGAGTCTGGTGAATGTTCAAAGTTAATGGTGGTCTTCATTTTGGCTTTAATAGGTTCCTTTGATCCTTTTGAATATTTTCAAAAACATTTCGGACACTTGATGAGGAAATTCCAAGTCTTCTGGCCACATCAACACGTGCACCCCCCCCCCCCCCCTCTCGAGTGAATTTGCGATGTGGGTTGGTGTGGAGAAGTCTTCATAAATCCGAACAAAAAACAAAATGATACGAAATGGTATGAATCCCTGCCTATAGAGGGTCCCTACTTTCTATTAGTTTCGAAAGTTTTCATAATTTTTCCTTGGCGCCTGGCCAAGGAGCCCTCAAAAAAACGTCCTATCATTATCGACCACCCTGTATATGTGAAGAATTTGTAATTGTTATTTGTGAAATGAGCTAGTACTGTACTTGTTAAAAAAATTGAATATTGATGTCAGAAAACTCCCCATTATCTTTCAAACTGTGTCCAATAGAAATTTAAATGAGAATTTTCCAGATCCAACAATCAAAAGACGCCATGGCTGAGAGGAATCGATTCAATCCGAGACCAAGCACATCAGCAGGCTACTCCACCAATCAAGGATACCATTTTGAGGATCGGAAGTGAGTTTTTGAAGCCGAAAAGGTGTTTTTCTGGATTATAAATTTCTCATTCTTCAGTTATCCACTGATGAATGGTCCGTCGACGAGTGGTGGTCCTTGGAACAACCCCCAGCAAACCTTCCGACCGTATCCAGCTAGCACTCCTAGTGAGAATGGACACTACGGTTCACAGCAGCAGAGTTCCGTATACCCACAGTATGTCCAACTGAATATATACCTTTAAAAATATTTATTTTTTCAGAAATTGGGCTCCGAATAATGGTCATCCGGGATCGGTGCCGACGCAGGGCTACGAAATTCAAGGATACCAACAGTATGCTTTCCTGATCATTCACCTTGAAAAAATGGTTTAATTTTTCAGAAATTTCGGTCCGGATCGCGGCCAGCAGGGACAGATGCCGCCCCAGTTCTACAGCAATCAAGGATACGGCAATCAAAACAGGTTAGTGTTTTTAAAGAGAACAATGTATCCAAAACCTCACTGAATTTCTCTTATTACAGTAATCTTTAAACTTTTCAGTTATGCTCCACAGCCTGCTCCGATGCCTCCTCTTCATATGCCACCAGAGTTCCAGCCACCAGGAAGTTTCCCTCCAGAAAGACAACCTTCTCGGTTAGTTTTTGACCTACTTTTTTGTCAAATTCAAAATTTTAAAAAATCAGAACCTTATTTTCTCAGATTGCTCATCTCCCACCACACTCCAAGAGAATACGTCATTTCGGAGATAATGAGCTTTTTGAGGAGAAATGAACAAGCCGGCTATCCGGTTTATGTAAGTTTTTTTTCTGATTTTCGAAAGGTCTTTCAGTAGAAAAAAGGCATTCAAAAGTTTTCAAATTAAAAAAAATTATTTGAAGGTGGTGTACGGTGAAATTTTTTATTGCATCAAAATGTAAAAATTTTAAAAGTTTGAATTCGCGCGCTTTTACTCACCGGGCGGCCTAGAAAAAACCTCGTCCCTAAGGGCTTTCAGCGTATTTTTCGATGCAGTTTTCTCGATGAAGGAATTTTTTTTGAATTTTTTCCTTATTTTTATGTCAATCTACATGCATTTCTGCACATTTGATGCAATAAAAAATTTCACCGTACNCCACCTTTAAAAAATGTGAAATTTCGTATGAAAATTTGAAATTTTGTCTAAAAATTTCCAAATGAGATATATGATTTTTCAGCTGGTGACGTTCCAACAAGAAATGCCACTCGATCCGGCATTCAATGTTTTTGCCTTCATCCAACAGGAGATGAAGTCGTCAGTAAGGATTGGCTACTCTCCCAACCCGGAGATGCATCAATTTTATCTTCGTCTTTAATTATGATTTCAACTTTTTTATAATTTAGAATTTTAATAATCTAACGAGATTGTAACTAACCTGTGATATTGAAATGTTTTAATAATAAAGTTTGTAATAATAAGTTTATCTTTCTGTGTAATTTTGACAATTCCAAGAAGATTCCAATTCCAGGGAAAATTTTCGAACAAGTCCAGCAAATGTTTAAGAAGGGGAGACAAGAGATTCTCCGGAGTTTTTTTTTTGAAGTTAAGGTTCACTCTGTGTAGAGCTATCGTGCCCCCTTGTATGTAATTATCTGTTGTATGTCGTCACCTTTCAGCTTCGCCCGCGTAGCTCAGTGGGTAGCGGCGCGGCACCTCCAATATTCGTCGTATTACTGTCTTCTTTTTACTGTCTTCCTTCATAAACGTTATTGTAGATTTTTTAAACCATCTGTCTCTTCTTTTTTTCTAAGTTTTTTGGTAATAAAGTTTTTCAAACAACTTTCATTTTTGTGACATTTTAAAAACTGAGATCATTATAAGGAAGAATTTTTCAAAAAAAATTTTCAAGTTGGAAACATTATGAAAACTTCACAACAAGATTGGATTGTTTTGGAATTCAGATTTTTGATAACTCCCCTAGGAACCGAGATAATTGAGCTCAAAGTGTACGTATTGAGCGGGCTTCTAGTATCCCTGCATCAATTTTCAGTTACTTTTTTGCACTCATGATTCATTGTGCAAAAGAATAATTTTTCTATTCGTGACAATTTGAATATAGAAACCATGATTTGTGCCGATATCTTGTGTTGTTGTGCCGGAGATCGAAAAACCAATTCGTTTCCCCCTTGGTCGTAGTTTTCCGTGTATTTGTCCTTTTTTCCTCTCATTCTCTCTCAACCTGCGTCTCGTTTTCTCTCGGTTCTCGCTTGGTTTCTTGAACTCGCCATTTTCTGGCTGTTTCGTTTATCTTTTTGATTCTTTTCAACTTTTTCCGTTCACTTTTGAGAGTTTTGAGTCATTTGTTGAAACCAAGTCATAATATTTTTCGCCAAATGTTGGTGACTTTCGCAATTTGTCGAAATGTTGTTCTGAGCCTCTATAATATATCCAGATACATTTGAATTTATTGATTTTTAATTTTCATGTCCTCTCCTAGTTTTTGAATGAGCCACGAAAATCGAAGCTATGGAAGAGAGCATTTGGTGGCAGCGACGACAGCCGAACTACCGTAACTATCAAATATTATTTACTTTTTTTTGATTTTCATCCGTTTCCCGGCAATTTTTTAGATGATTCGGTGGTTCTCGTTACTGGGTCCGTTGGCCACGCCCACAAGCTTTTCTCTTCCACAGCTTCGATTTTTTGTATCAGAATGATTAACCTGAAATTATCGATGTTTTTTCTCCCTCCTAGTTTTTTAATCAGCCACATTCTTTATTCAATCAACCGAAACTTGCTTTCAATACATCTCTCTTTTCTGTTCCCAATCTTTAAAAAATTCCAAATTCACAGATTCCATCATGTCAACACCTTCTGAAGATGTTCCGAAAGAAGGAGAAGAAGAACCAAAAGAAGAAACTAATGAGTTGGCATCGGAATTCAATTTCTTCGACTTATTTGATGGTATGGAACATGAAAATGATAAGGATCCCAGTAGAATTGCCAACAAAAGTGATATGATATCGTTGATAAAATTTATCGGAGGATTCGAGAAATGGAATGAGTTGAATGAGGATTGTCGAATGGCCGTGGTGAAGTTCTTAGAGTACAAGGATAGATGCAAACTTGGAATTTGTTCCAAAAGAGACTATGAAACTGTGAAATCCACTCCATTGGATGTGTACAAAATCTCAATCTACGATAATGAGAAGTATCATTATTCGTTCCGCGAGGAAGATTTTGTAAGTTACTGTAAGCACTCTATTAGGAGGACACCCTATACTTGCATTTGGAGCGCAATTATCTCGATTCCTATTAAAGGTATCGAAAGTTTCAACTGAAAAAAAATATAGGAGATATTATGATAACTAATTTCTCATTTGACCACTTTTCGGTATCTTCGACAGGAAATGAGGTATATCAGCTCAAAGTTGACTGCTTAGGGGCATGTCTTCAATTTTTCATTTTCAGGACAACGTGGTAGTTGAAGTGCAACTTCATCACGACTTTAATTCTGGTAAACGATTTGAATTGATTTTTTCACAACTCGGAGAAGACACTCAAATCCAATGGTATCAGTATATTCCCAAGCAACGTCCAAAAAATAGAAGCCTAGTTTTGAAATCCTGTAATTACTATGAAGAAGCTGTGAAATTTGCTGAGAAATGGATGAAAAAGTGTAATTTCGAATTGAAGGATATCAAAATCGAAATGAAGAACTATCCGATGGATAAAAGTAAAATTAAGAGTCTTCGAAATGTAAATGTATTCGAATTGGCTCTGATGACGTGGAAACATTCCGTTGGTGGCTCCAGAAAGTTCCAAATCAGCTGAAAGATGTTGAACTGGTTGCACTGGATGCTGATCGCGAAGTCTTCACTATCCCATCAGATCTTCTGAACGCTCCACAGGTAACTTGAATTTTTGAAAAAACTCGACGAGGTTTTTAATTTTTTGTTTCTAGATAATGCAAACTTCTGACTTCTACTTCTGGTGTCGTGCTGAATTCTCAGATGAGCAATTGTTGAACTTGAAAGCCAGTAGTTTAAGCTTCGATTGTGTGAATATCACCGATGGAGGAATCAACGAGTACATCAAAAGATGGATCAACGGAAAAGGAGTACCGAAATTCAAGAGAGCTCTTTTGTGGGGCAATAAAGCTCGAGACTATGCAGAATTGACACGTGGATTGGAATATAGACAATGGGATGCTGCATTTGAAGAGGAAGCGTAAGTCGCTATTAATCAGGAATCTAATAAATTCTTTGAAAATTTCAGAGCAGGATTCTGTGGCGATTTCGAGCGAGTTTGTGGTCGTGGAAATTGTGTACAAATCTACAGTAAAATCGATCCATATGAAAGTCTAACCTTGAATGTCTCAAGTGACTGCGTGGCAATTTACTGGACCGGACACAAACATGAATATAATGGAAGAACGTATTCTGATTATTCGATCCCTTGAACATATTCATATTTGTGTTGCAACTTCCAAAATAAATTTATTTATCTGTCGCTCTTTACTGTATTTCCTCTCTTAGAAGCCCACCGAAACAGTCAACTTTGAGCTCAATTATCTCGATTTCTGAGAATTTTATCAAAATATTGTCAACTGATAAAATATTGGTGATGTTATGATAAATAATTTATCAATTGACAAATTTTTGATATCTCTCCTAGGAATCGAGATAATTGACCTGAAAATTTACATTACAGCAATTAAGGTGTTCAAACAGCGTTTATAGCATTTTCCAATTTTCAAAATTGGAATTTTTTCAAAAAAAAAACAATGGTATTTTGTTCATGTCAACGTTAGGTATTAAAAAAATAAATCTCAAAAAAAATATTTATGAAATTGAAGAAATCGGGCGAGGAGTTGGTGACTTTGTGAATATAACTCGATCGAGCCACTGAAATTGAATATTTTCAAATTAGAAAATCTTCTAGAACTTGACAAAGCGTTTTTAAATCTAGAGACACAGACAACGAGACATTCTAGTTGTTTGTGTCTCTTCAAAATTTCAAAGCGCTGTATCTCATTGTCAGCTCCCAGACAGCCTACTAAGCTGGTTTTTGGACATGATAAGAGCAAACGTTGAGTAATTTCTGAAAACACTTACAGCTAGCGGGAAATGAAGATGAATTTCAATCCAGCAAGGGATTGAAGACAAAAAACCAATTTGTTTTCTGTTAGTCGTAGTGTTCCGTGTATTTATCTCTTTTTCCCTTTCGTTCTCTCTCATACTGCGTCTTGTTTTCTCTCGCAATTCTCTGTCTGTTTCGTGTATCTTTGATTCTTCTGAACTTTTTCCATTTACTTTTGAGTCATTCGTTGTAAACAAGGTCATGATATTTTTCACCAAATCTTGCCGAATTTCGCAATTTGTCGCGATGTTATTCAGAGTCTTTATAATATCCAGATATATCCAAAGATTTCTGAAGTTATTGAATTTTTAGTTTTTATGTTCTCTCCTAGTTTCTAAATCAGCCACGAAAATTGGAGCTGTAAAAGAGAACATTTGGTGGCAGCAACCACCACTGAACTAATTAGCAAATATTGTTTAGTTTTTTTTTCGATTTTCGTCCGTTTTCCGGCAATTTTTTAGATCCAGAAAAATTTATTTATTTTCCTTTTTTGGAGGTTTTCAACACAAAAATTGTCGAAAAGCAATTTCGATCGAGAAGAAATGACCGGAAGATTTAGGTTACGGTGGTTTTCGTTACTGGGGCCGTTGGCCACGCCCACAAGCTTTTCTCTTCCACAGCTTCGATTTTTTGTATCAGAATGATTAACCTGAAATTATCGATGTTTTTTCTCCCTCCTAGTTTTTTAATCAGCCACATTCTTTATTCAATCAACCGAAACTTGCTTTCAATACATCTCTCTTTTCTGTTCCCAATCTTTAAAAAATTTTAAATTCACAGATCCCATCATGTCACCTTCTGAAGAAGTTCCGAAAGAAGGAGAAGAAGAACCAAAAGAAGAAACTAATGAGTTGGCATCGGAATTCAATTTCTTCGACTTATTTGATGGTATGGAACATGAAAATGATAAGGTCCCAGTAGAATTGCCAACAAAAGTGATATGATATCGTTGATAAAATTTATCGGAGGATTCGAGAAATGGAATGAGTTGAATGAGGATTGTCGATTGGCCGTGGTGAAGTTCTTAGAGTACAAGGATAGATGCAAACTTGGAATTTGTTCCAAAAGAGACTATGAAACTGTGAAATCCACTCCATTGGATGTGTACAAAATCTCAATCTACGATAATGAGAAGTATCATTATTCGTTCCGCAAGGAAGATTTTGTAAGTTTCAAATATGCGGCAAACCCTCTAATAGAGCGCTTTATATTTTCAGGACAACGTGGTAGTTGAACTGCAACTCCATCACGACTATAACTCTTGTAAACAATACCAGTTGATTTTTTCACAACTCGGAGAAGATACTCAAATCCAATGGTATAAAAATAGAAGCCTAGTTTTGAAATCCTGTAATTACTATAAAGAAGCTGTGAAATTTGCTGAGAAATGGATGAAAAAATGTAACTTCGAGTTGAAGGATATCAAAATCGAAATGAAGAACTATCCGATGGATAAAAGTAAAATTAAGAGTCTTCCGAAATGTAAATTTATTCGAATTGGCTCTGATGACGTGGAAACATTCCGTTGGTGGCTACAAAAAGTTCCAAATCAGATGAAATATGTTAAGCTGTTTGCACTGGATGCTGATCGAGAAATGTTCACTATTCCATCAAATCTTCTGAACGCTCCACAGGTAACCGAAACTGCCTGAGAGTTTTTTAGTTTCTTGTTTTTTTCTAGATAATGGAAACTCTGGAGTTCGACATCTGGTGTCGAGCTGATTTCTCGGATGAGCAATTTTTGAATTTGAAAGCTAATACTCTTGGCTTCCGCTGTGTGAACATCACCGATCAAGGAATCAACATGTACATCAAAAAATGGGTCAACGGAAACGGGGTACCGGATTTCAAGAATGCTATTCTCAGGACAAATGAAGCTCGAGACATCAATAAAATGATACGTGGATTGGAATGTAGACAATGGCAAGGAGATTTTGAAAATGAAGAGTAAGCGTTAATTTATACTCAGAAATCTAACTAATCCTTTAAACATTCAGACCATACTTCTGCCGTTATTTCTACAACCTTTATGAGCCTGAAAGATGTGTTCAAATCTACAGTAAAGTCGATCCATATGAAAGTCTAACTTTAGGTGTTGCAAGTGACTGGGTATTAATTTACAAAACCGGAAACAAAATGGAAGATAATGGACACACATATTCTGATTACTCGATTCCTTTCTGAACGTTGTTTTTAAAAAATCCAACTATCGCTTTTTTTGGAGTTTGGTTGAAATAAAGATGGTTGTTTTAGTTCTAAGAAAAGGAAAACTATGATTCCCAAGGATGTGCATCGTCACTTTTCGAATCATGTTTTGTATTTTCGCAAAAAAAAGTGAAATTTGCTGAGAAATGGATGAAAAAATGTAACTTCGAGTTGAAGGATATCAAAATCGAAATGAAGAACTATCCGATGGATAAAAGTAAAATTAAGAGTCTTCCGAAATGTAAATGTATTCGAATTGGCTCTGATGACGTGGAAACATTCCGTTGGTGGCTCCAGAAAGTTCCAAATCAGCTGAAAGATGTTGAACTGGTTGCACTGGATGCTGATCGCGAAGTCTTCACTATCCCATCAGATCTTCTGAACGCTCCACAGGTAACTTGAATTTTTGAAAAAACTTGAATTGACACGTGGATTGGAATATAGGCAATGGGATGCTGAATTTGAAGAGGAAGCGTAAGTCGCTATTAATCAGGAATCTAATAAATTCTTTGAAAATTTCAGAGCAGGATTCTGTGGCGATTTCGAGCGAGTTTGTGGTCGTGGAAATTGTGTACAAATCTACAGTAAAATCGATCCATACGAAAGTTTAACATTGAATGTCTCAAGTGACTGCGTGGCAATTTACTGGACCGGACACAAACATGAATATAATGGAAGAACGTATTCCTATTATTCGATTCCTTGAAATTCTGACATTCGTTTTGTAATCTTTAAAAATGAATTTATTTATCTGTCGTTTATTATTAGCTTTTATAGCTTCTCGGAACTTAAAATTGAAAAATAAACAATGGAAATTGAACTCATGTGAACGTTAACCATTGAAAAAAACTATTAAAAAATATATTTATGAAATTGAAGAAATCGGGCGAGGAGTTGGAGACATTGTGAACAGAACTCGATCGAGCCACTGAAATCAAATAATTTGGAATTTAAAAAAAAGTCATTTACCGTAAAACCTGATTAGAAGAGTCTACTAGCAGGAAAATTTGAGACAATTTATCTCGGGTCCGGACAGGGTTGCGGATTGACGGGCCGGCCCGGCCCGGCCCGTCGGCCCGTCCATAGCTTTTTCAGAGAAAAATTTTTTTGATGAAAAATTTTTTGAGCGAACATAGGCACCATTGGTCCTATTTTTAGCTATTTCTATCATTTTTAGGCCTATTTCGGCCTATTTTTAGGCTTTTTCTCGCTGTTTTTAAAGCATATTTGAGGCTATTTTCGCTTAATAGCGAAACAAATTTCGTGTAGTCCTCGTGGACAATAGTTTTCACCGGCTTCAAAATTACCGAGCTATTTGTGGAGATTTTGACCTATTTTTAGCGATTTTTGCTGTTTTCGAGCGTGTTCTAAGGTATTTTAACTTATTTTCAGTGCATTTCATCCGTGTAGTCCTCGTGGACAATAATTTTTAGCGAATTTGAATTTACAGTTAAAACCTCAAGTATGTAATTGATAACGTGAATAAAAAACTTTCATTCAAATCGGTTGAGTTTGAGCTGAGTTACAGTCCCGAACATACATGTGGAAAATTCGGAGTGGAAATTTTTTACAGTTTGCAGACGGGCCGGGCCGACGGGCCGGCCCGGGCCGAAGTTTTTAGAAAATCGGCCCGGCCCGGCCCGTCGCAACCCTGGGTCCGGACAAAGATATGAAAAAGTTGTCAACTGATAAATTATTTATCACAAGATCACAGACACAAGACGCAGACAACGAGACACTCTAGTTGTCTGCGTCTCTTCGAAAGTTCAGTGCGCTGTATCTCAGCTCTCAGGCAGCCTAGTAAGCTGGTTTTTGGACAGGATAAGAGCAAATTTTGAGTAGTTTTTGTTTTTTGGTAAAATTTACAAACGTTTGGGTTCGGAAAACACTCACAGCCAACGGAGCATGAAGATGAATTTCAATCCAGCATGGAGTTGAAGTAACGTCCTGTCTCTGATACTCAGCACCCCATCCCTTGACAAATGACATTCGGATAAATGTCATTTTTTGAAGATCAAATGATGCATCGAATCCACGACGACTACAATCTTCGAGCAACTGGAAATTCAAAATTGAATAGCTGAAATTTAAAAAAAAACAACTTACAGTTCTGAAAATTTCCATATCAAAAATTTTCAACGAACACTTGTTCGCAATTTTGACTACAGTTGTCGGGTGGAAGCCATTGATATAGTTACAGTTTCTGGATTGGACAAAAATCGCAGAATCACTTTCACATTGAGCGAAAAGAGCTCCATTGCTACGGACATAGGTCAGTTTGACACCTGAAAATAAGGGAATGTATTTATCTCGGTTCTAATCAAGGATATCAAAAAGTGGGCAACTAAGAAAATATTTTTGACATTTCGATAAATATTTTTCAGTTGATCACTTTTTGATATCTTTCACAACATCTGAGATAAATAAGGTCAATGCTGACGGCTGTGGGGTCCTACCCGCGTGCACACGTACAGCGGTGGACACACTGTCAAGTTTGAGCTCTATTACCTCTGTTCCTGTGAAAGTTATCAACAAGTGGTCAACTAATAAAATGTTGGTGATATTATGTTGGATATTCTGTCAGTTTACTACTTTCCGATATCTTTCACAGGGATGAGATACATAGCCTTAAAGTTGAAGGTGTTGGGGGCTCCTCTTTTACCATTTCCAATATGTCTTCTTGTATTCTCAATGGTTGCATTCCGATTAACATTCGAAAAGAGTCCCAAACTAATTTTGCTTCCATTAATACACGGATCAGTGAATCCATCAATTGTAATAGTTGACGATGACACTTTGACCTGTTCTCCAACTCGAGTATTCAATTCATAATAACTGATTGTTGCCCAAAATTGTTCATCCCATCCTTTATCGAATGGAACCAAACATGTTGGAACTCCTGGAGGTATGTCGAACTTTTGCGATGTGTCCATTTCTTCGATTCCATTTTGATTGTATTGATGAAATTGGTTGGCTCTATAATATTATACTACCAACTTTGAGCTCATATATCTCATTTTCTCTGAAAGATACCAAAGAGTGGTCAACTGATAAAAATTTGTCATAATATCAGCAATATTTTTTGGTTGACCACAAATTGATATATTTTACACGAACCGAGGTATACGGTCTCAAAGATGACGAGACATTATATTAGAGTGTTTAGGGACTGTCGTTGTGTCATTTTTTGTGTCTATTATCTAAACACACATCTAGTTGTGTATGTTTCCTGTTCTTTCTTTTCCACTCTCATCCTGCGCCTTGTTCTCTCTCGGCACTTGTTTCTCGGTTTTTTTTTTCTATTTTTCTATCCAACGGATCCGTTTAGATGTCTTTTAGGTTTTCTATACATAACGGATCCGTTACGAGTGCTTTTTTCAATGGATAAGTTTTTTTTTTCTAAAATTCGCTAACGGATCGAATAATGCCATGTGACTTTCTGAAAATGCCCCGCAAGCGGTTCCTATTTAAACCGCGCACGAACGGTGGAGCATCCATCACGGATTCTGAATTTTTAACTTATTCGGAATATTCGAAAACTGACAAAACTGGAAAATCACGATTTCTCAGTTCATAGCAGCTCTTTTAAGTTTTAATTATACCAAAAATTATTGACTTTCGAGATTGACCTATCTAATAGTCGCCCACCCAAATCGTTAACTTTGAGCTCAATTATCTCGATTCCTGTGAAAGATATCAAAAATTTGTCAACTGATAAAATATTTTTCTCAACATCATCTACACTTTATCAGTTAATTAATTTTTGGTACCTATTCCAGGAATCGAGATAATTGAGCTTTTGTTTCGGAATTTTTTTCTTCTGTTCCCAATTTCACAACTATTTCAATACTCGTATTTGCAGAAACTGATGTCATCTACTTCAGATGGCGTCCAAGACGAAGAAGAAGATTTCAATAATTTAGACTGCTTATTTGAGAATTCTGGTATTAAGAAAAGAGCAACTAAAAAAGAAATTGATGATTTATTGACATACATCGGAGGATTTGAGAAGTGGAACAATCTAAATGATGATTGTCGGATTCAAGTTTTGAAACTTTTGGAGTATGAAGATAGAGGCAGACTTGGATTTTGTTCGAAAAGGGACAATTTGCTTGTAGAGTCAACACCATTGCATGTGGATACTATTCAAGTCGAGGAGGGAACATTGGTGGTATTGGGAAGACTTTTGTAATTTCTTATCCTTGTATTTTTCATTTTGAGAACAACGTAGCTGTTCAAATCGCCTTCAATAGCCGTAAACTATTGAACCTGGTATTCACCAAGCAGGGAAATGATACTCATATTGGATGGACGTTTTTCTTGGATACCAGGTCATCAAAGTCAAAATCTAAAATTGTGATTTTGAATTCTTCCGACTATCGCAAAGAGGCTGTGAAGTTTGTGGAGAGGTGGATGAAACAGTGCAATTATGAATTGGAGAACTTGATAGTTGGAATGACTGATTACCCTATTGAAACTAGTCAAATCAAGCGGCTGCCACGGTGTAAGAGACTTCGAATTATGGGAGATCGTTTGGATATTTCCGAATGGTGGATACAGAAAGTTCCTGAGAAACTCTTAAGTCTAGAACTTTCTCCTTACGACGATACCAAACTAATTTTCACCAAGGAGTTTCTTAATCAACCGCAGGTGAGAGAATCTAGACCAATTATTATATGAATCCCATTTTTCAGGTCATGGAGTCTCAAATTGTCCGGTTCTATGGTTTCGCAGATTTCACCGATGAGCAGTTTTTGAAAACCAAAGCCCAACTCATAACGTTTTCCCCAGTAAGCCTTACTAGCGACGGAATCAATAAATACATCAAAAAATTTGTCAACGGAAACGGATCACCCAATTTTGAACGTGCAGTTTTCCGCTTTTCAGATGTAGTCGAAGAGGGAAAAATATTAAATGGACTCGAATACAGAACATGGGATAAAGAGTTTAAAAGGGAAATGTAAGTTGAAAAAAAAGGAGAAAAAAACACAAATAGCATATTTGCAGCGTTGAGCGCAATTATCTCGCTTCCTATGAGAGATAGCTAAAGTTTATCAACTGATAAATAGTTTATCATGAGGATATCACTAAGATTTTATCAGTTGACCGATTTTTCCCATCTTTCACAGGAATCAAGATAATTGAGCTCAACGTTGAAGGTTTGGATGGGTTTCTATTAAAGGAAATATAGTTCATTTTTAGTGGATCCTTCTGGAACGATTTCCTCAGAATGCTGGGAGGCGGAAGATGTTTCCAGATCCCGAGTCGTGTCGATCCATACGAAAGTCTCACTTTGCATGTGGATATTGGATATATGGGAATTTATAAAACTGGTCATAGGACAGTAACCGATGGGAGGCCACATACTCTTTACTATTTTTTGTGATTCATAACAACATGTTCAAAATGTTTCTCTAGTTCTCTTGTTAATGTTTTCTATATTTTCACCTTTCTTCTCGTCAATGCTACTATCTGATAGTGAGTCATCGAGTTCCTTTTTTTTCTCTCTATCTCTCATTTGTTTTATTCTTACTCTCTAGAATGATTAGACCTCCTAGGTCATTTTTCTAAAAAAAAAAGAGTCATTTTAATTTACAATCATCTAGATATCCTTTTTTCAATGTTTCTTTCATATCTACAAAAAATTATCATTTTTTCAGATTCTGGTTTTTTTTCTATAGAACACAGCCATCTTCTCACGTGATCACTTCTTTTTTTGGTTGAATAAAAAAAATCAATTTTAAATGTTGACTGATTTCTTGAAAGAGAAATCTTGAAATTTCTTCTTCTTGAAATTGAAATTTCTTCTTTGGTACTTGAATTCTTCTCTTATCCGGCTTTTTCAATTGCTGAACGAATTTACAGATGTCTGAAGTAAAAGATCAAAATATAGAGCTAAATGAACTAGGCGATGCTCTGAATGAAATTGAAAGCCTGTCATCAGAAGAGAGATTCCAATTATTCACCAATTTCCTTGGTGGATGTGAGAAATGGGATCAGTTGAATGAGGACTGCCGTATACATGTTGCTCAGTTTTTTGGATTACAAAACCATGTGTAATCTTGAAAGATGTTCGAAACGAGATCAAAATACTATCAAACATGCTCCAGTTCGGATGTTTGATGTCACCGTGGGGTTCCTTGATCAAATACGGTTCGAGGAAGAGGGAGAAGAACTCGTGGGTTATTTATTGTGATAGTCGTAGTAATCTAACTCTAGACATTTCTCAGGACACTATTTATGTTGAAGTCCGTTTTGCTTTCCGCAGTCAAATTTGCGGAGAGTATCATCAGAAAAGGACGACTGTATTTAGAACAAAGATGGAATGCGGTGGTGGTTCCAATGGCTTCCGAAGGATAATCTCAATGTTTGGACTTCTACTTATGAAGGCAATACGCTGTTCGCATTGATACCGTCAACTGGTAAAATTTTCTAAACTATTTGGTTTTTCAATTTACAGTTTCAGTTTCGAAATAGAAAACAACTCTTAGTGAGTGGGCAAGTGACCGACACTGCATTTTTGTCACTTTGTACGGACTTTCCTCGCCTCACATGGTCACTTTTTCCTGTTGAATGAAGTATAAATATTGAGTTTACCGGTTTTTGAAACAAGTTAATTTCTTGTGTGATACTTGAAGTCTTCCCATTTCGAATTTTTAATTTCTAAACTAATTTTCAGATGTCAGAAGAAATAGAGCCAACGATAAAGCTAGGTGAACTAGGCGATGCTCTAAATGAAATTGAAAAACTATCATCAAAAGGGAGGATCAGATTACTCAACAGTTTTATTAGTGGATTTGAGAAATGGGATCAGTTGAATGAGGACTGTCGTCTACATGTCGTTCAGTTCTTGGATTACAAATCCATGTGTAATCTTGAAAGATGTTCGAAACAAGATCAGAAATCTGTCAAAGATGCTCCAATTCAAATTTTCAGTGTGGAAATTGCTGAATTAGATGATGGAAGTGCCGAGAATGGACAAAAAGTACCTGTGGGTTACTTATGGCAAACATCAAAATCAAATTCTAAAAAGTTTCAGGACAGTGTCCGCGTTACTCTCCGGTTTAGTTTCACCGCGAAAAATTATGAATTGATATTCTCTCAAAACGGGGAATATGTTGAAAGAGTGTGCGGCGTAAAAAGACGTCGTGAAATTATAATAGTGAAGTCATCAGATCACTATCAAGAAGCTGTTAATTTTGCGGAGAGGATGATCAGAAAAGGACAGAATCGATTAGAAGAGCTAAGAGTGTATATGAAAAAATATCCATTTGAAAACTCTCAAATGAGGTCATTGCCTCGTTGTAAAACTGCTCGACTAGGTGTGATGAACAAGGTTGAAATGTGGTGGTGGTTGAAATGGCTTCCGAAGGATAATCTGGATGTTTGGATATCTACTTTTGAACGCGATACGTTCAAATTGGCACTGTCTTCGGAAGATCTCAATTGTCAACAGGTGAACTTTTCTAAACTCTTTGGCTTCCTAATTTAATGTTTCAGTTTCGAAACGCCGAACAACTCCGAGTAAGTGGGCGAGTGGACTACACCGAGGAACAATTTTTGAATTTGAAACTCAAAATTGGTTTGTTCGATTCAGTTGGGGTTACTGATGAGATTTTCAAACAGTTTATAAAGGTAATTTTCTCAAAAATTATTATCTTTTCAAAAAATCATATTCCAGAATTGGATTAATGGTACGGGATGCCGTTTGCAGCGGATGCATTTGGGTTTTATGGAAGATAGAAAACTTGATGTGATTCTACAAGGAATTGAGTTTCGAGAATGGGATCAGGACTTCAAAGATGAAGTATCCATCAAAAAGTAGGCGATTTTTAGGTATCAAAGTTGTAATATATTTCAATTTTCAGTGTTCACTTCGTGATGGAATTTGAATCGATTTGTGGAATAGGAGAACTATATCAAATCTATAGCAAAGTGGATCCATATGAGAGTATTACTTTGCAAATATCAGATGTCTATACAGGCTTATTATGCCTTTATCATACTGGAAAACGAGCAACTTCATTCGACGGGGAAATTTATACATCCTTTACGGCTCCTGATTATCTTTACCATTAAATACAGTACCGGACAATTGCTTAGCATTTTGAAATATTTTTTAATTTCAGGTTCGAAATTCCAAAGCCTAATGTTTTTTCTGCTACTGTAATCACAATTTATCGTTTCTAAATGTTTCTATTTTCAATTTTTTCTGTCAAGACTTGCATCTAATTTGATTGATCTAAAAAAAATTCTCTTCGCGCTGTTTTTTTTCATTTATTCGAACTTTGGTTTTTTCCTCCATCGAACACATTCATCTTCTTCTCTCACATGACAGTTTCTGATGAAGATTTGGTTTAAAAGTGTAACAAATGTTCGAGGAAGTATTTTTCTTCTCTGATATTTAATTTATTCTGGTACAAAACAACCCGAACTTCCTTTTTCTGTTAATCCTAGTTTTCTGTGTATGTCCTTTTTTCCTCTCTTTCTCTCATCCTGCGTCTCGTTTTCTCTCACCTCTCACTTTGGTTTCTTGGATTCGGAACTCTCTTTCTATTCAGTTTTTTTAAAATACTTTTGAACTTTTTTCCTTTACTTTGATGGCATTTGTAGTAAACCAAGTTTTATGATATCATTTTAATCTTCACCAAATCTTGTTGAATTTCGCAATATGTCGCAATTTCATTCAAAACCATTATAATATCCAGAAATTGTTCCGGTGCAAAATAGCTGTGGAAGAGAAAAGCCGGTGGTAGTGGCCGAAGATCCCAAATACCGTAACCTAAAAATATATTAATTTTCCGGATTAATTTTCTCGTTTTTCCCTGATTTAATGTCGATTTTTCTGTTATTTTTGATAGCCAAGAAATTGGCTAAAAACGCACGAAATATGGAGAAAACGAATCCAGAAATCCAAAAATGATTTTTAAGTTACGGTAGTTTTCGTTGTGGGACCTTTGACCACCGGCCACAGGATTTTCTCTTCCATAGCTCCGATTTTTGCTCAAACCCCTTTATCATATGTATTTCTCGTTACCCCTCAACAATCCAATAACCCCCAAGTTTTCTTTCTTTCAACTCTGAATTTGATTTTTCAGATCCGAAAATGTCAACTTCTGAAATTGAGCAGAATTCTCTCGACAAAGCTTTAAACGCCATTGAAAAACTACAGAGAGATTCCGATTACTCAAGAATTTCATTCGCGAATTTGAGAAATGGTCCCAATTGAATGAGGACTGTCGTTTACATGTTGTTCAGTTCCTGGACTATAAATCTATGTGTAAACTTGAAATATGCTCAAAACAAGATCAAGGAACTGTTAAAAACGCTCATGTAAATATCTACAAAATGTCAATTTGTGATGAAAGAAAAATCACTGAGGGTATTGAAACTGAGGAGTTTGTAAGTGTTTTTTCTCAACTTTTTTTTATCTGTTTGAGAAGAGACGAGATATAGAGGCTCAAAAATAACAGGTAAGGTAGTTCCAAAAAAAAATTAAACATTTTTTCAGGACAATGTTGCAATCAGCTTTCAATTTGATAGTTATATGACGAGAACCTACAATTTGGTGTTTTCTCCAGAAGGAGATGGGTCTAAAATGCAATGGCTCAAGTATAATCACAGTAAACGAGGAATGGATATTCATACATTGCTCATCGATTCGCCTAACTACCATCAGAAAGCCATTGAGTTTGCGGAGAATATGATTAAAAAAGGAAAATATGAACTTCCACAACTGATGGTTGATATGAAGGACTATCCGATGGAAACTAGTAAGATGAGACCATTGTCACGTTGCAAAACAATTCGAATCTGTGGAGATGACAAGAATCAGCTGAGGTGGTGGTTCGAATGGTTTCCGGAGAAGAATCTGGATATTCGAATGTTCAGTCGATTTGAAAATCAACTATTTATATCTTCGGAAGAACTCAATTGGCCAAAAGTGATTTTCAAAAACTGGTTCTAGAAAAAAATATTCTTGGATTTTCAGATTCAACAAGCACAAAAATTCAAATTGTGCGGACGAGCCTATTTTACGGATGAGCAATTTTTGAATTTAAAAATCCGCATGGCAGGTTTCGCCTCTGTCAGTGTTTCTGACGACGTCATTAATCGATTTTTGAAGGTAGATCACTAGAATTACAGACTATAAAATTAATTTATTTTGTTTCAGAACTGGATAAATGGTACTGGGTACAAATTCCATCAAATTCTCTTGGGATCCATTAATGATAGGAAAATTGATACGATTCTACGTGGAATTGAATTGAGAGAATGGGATGAGGATTTCAGAGAGGAAGCGTAAGTCCGTGATAACTTTGTTCCTACTGTAAAACCTGTAATAGAATGGCCCCCACATTGTCAACTTTGAGCTAAATTATCTTGGCTCCTATGCCAGATATCGAAAAATTTTTGTGGTATTATGATATACATTTTATCAGATGTCAACTTTTTTATATCTTTAACGGGAACCGAGATAAATTGACTCAAAGTTACGGTAATTTTTTTCTGAATAACTAAAAATTTCAGTGGTTTCTTCTACTCCGAATTCCATCGTTTCTGTGGTCGCGGACAACTGTATCAGATTTCCAACAGAATCCACCCATACGAGAGTCTCACTTTGCAAATTACGGATTTCGAAGAAGCAGAATTAAACATTTATCATACTGGAAAACGACAGACTGCGAGGAATGGAGAATATTATACCGAATATTATGTCCCTAGTTATTTTTAATTCTAAATAAAACTTTGTCGAATTTTTGCGATTTTTCCATGATTATCCGAAGAATTATTTTTTTCAAAAAGTTTTTCAAAAAATACTTGCTTCCCGCCAAATGTTTCCCAACGACACTCCGCACATCCCGGTCGCGCCCTGTTTATCGTAAACCCGGTTTCTCGATATTTCTTATCAATTTTCTTACATCATTCTGCTCATTTTCAGCACTTTCTGCCCGGAAAATCACTCAAAAATTTCAGAAAAAATGCCAGAAACCACCGGTATAAGTGACCAAACTAAGAAAGTGCTCATCGGAGTAGCAGCCGCCGCGACAGTCGCCGGAGTTGGTTATATGGCCTATAAAAGCCTTAGCGGTTCAGATGTAAGTGTTTTTGAAAGATAAAAATGTTATAAAGAAATCAAGAGTCCTTTTTACAGTTAGATTCGGACCTAGAAGCCATCAAATCCCTGGGAAACTTGAAATTCAAGGAAAAGAATTATGAGGAAGCAATCAAAGAGTTTACCCGAGGAATCGAAAAGGCAGGCCCAAACACGAATAATACAGTTGTCGCAATGCTGTATCAGAATCGTGCCGCCTGTCGTGAAAAAGTCGGTCACACCTCATTCGACATCCTTAATGACTGCCTAGCAGCACTGAAAGTGGATAAAAAGTATGCAAAGGCGTATTTAAGAGCGGCGAAAGCTCTAAACGATATTGGCAAGAAGCAGGACGCTTTGGCTTGTGAGTTTTCATATTTTAGTACAAAGAAAACATCAATAATCAATAATTATAGACCTCCTTGCGGCCTTCACTCTGGACAGCAACTTGAACAAAGCCAACTTCGAGTTCTTCGGGAAACTTTTGACCGTGGAGCCCCTTTCCGACTGCTTTATTGGAAAACCACTCAAAATCGAGGAGGTCAAACCAGCACCAGTGGCTTTGTTCAGAATCCAACAGTGGTGTGATACTTGGGACGTTCTGGATCTTTTTAAGACAGATTTGACGAAATTCGAGCCGGATGTGCTTAGTGAAGATCAAAAGTAAGATTTTTGAAATTTGAATTCCATCACAAGAAAGAATATTTTCAGACAATACCAATTGTCACTCGAACTATTCAAAAAGGGAAAATATGAGGACATTATCAACTTGCTATCAGCTGAGAACAACTACGCTCCAGCGATGATTTTCCGTGGTAAGATGCTCTGCTACAGTATGGATCCAAATGAGGCAACGAGATACGTGGATAAGAATGAGGCGAGAATCAACGAAATGATCGGAAACGAGGAAAATGAGGAGAGAAAGAAGCTGATGAGAGATGCGTTTGATGTGTTGAAAATTGAATTGATGTACACAATGGAAGCTGTTGATAAGTGAGTTTTTTTGTTTAGTCAGAAGCTGTGAATTTAGTTTTTGAAATAAAAATTATCTTGAAACCAGGAATAGAGGATGTGAGCTAGTTTTTCTTGACTTCTATGCAAGATATCGATAGTGTGTCACCTGGTAAAATGCCTCTAATATTAAGATAAGCAATTTATCAGTTGACAACTTTTTCATATCTTTGACAGGAACATATATAAATTGGCTCGAAGATGGGGCCCTTCTATAACAGGTTTTACGGTAAAATTACATATTTTTTCAATTCCAGATTCCTACAATCTCTTCCAACAGACGACAAAGAACGCCTCTTCAAACTCAATTCCTTCGCCGCTGTCTTTGTGGTAATCCTAACTTTCCTTTTCAAAATCAAATAAATATAAATTTTCAGTACAATGGATGTGTGCTTGACACCACTTGCAGCAGTCATGAGGAGCAGATGATGGCAGACACCGTATGTTTTTTTATCAGCTACCTCGAGAATGAATTCTCTTCAGAACAACGCGAATCGTCTTCTCGAAGAAGCCGCCAAGCACGGAACTCTCACACCACATCTCACTATGATCGCCGCTTTCCTCAAACTTTGCACTTGTGAGGATTATGGAGACGTTCATCGGAGAATTCGGGAAATGGAAGAGCTCACCGAACAACGGTCGACCCATTTCAACTTGATTCTTATGTCCAAAGTCTACATGATGACTAATAATGCAGAGAGTTCGGAGAAGTTGCTCAACGAGGCGGCGAAGATCAAAACGAGATATTTGGTACCGAGTAGACATCTTCAGACGGCGGATCTTCACGTACACAAACCGGAAGACGAACGTCTTCGTTTGACAACCGCCAGTGCGAATGCCGCGTTGGAAGTGGATCCATTCAACTTCTCGGCTCATGTCCTTCATTTACTAGGAACCAATGGACCAGAACCATACATTAAGAAGTGAGTTTTTTAAAAGGATCTTTTTAGTCCTGAAATAACATATTTCCACCCCAAAATCTGACTGCTTAGGTCTAAAAACAACGGATTTCGATGTTCAAAAAAGCTAGAAAAATAGACAAAACAAATAAATAAAAATTTGTAGATCCAACTACGACCAAGCTATGGAATCAATCCGAAAAGCGGCACTTTTCGCCCCACCAAGAGAACTTTTGATGCTAAAACGAATGATTCCACTGATGAATGCCAAAAAGCGAGCAGCCGAGATGCTCGATATGTACTAATTAATCAGATTTTTTAGAGTAATTTAGTGTTAGAATTTTTTGTTACAATTTATCCTTTTCCATTTCTTTTGGACCGGTTTTTTCCTAAATCCGATTTTTTCTATTCCCAATGCTCCCTCCTCCATGCTTACTGTGTTTTTCCCCATTCTTGATCATCAAATATAAAAACCTTTCTACGATGTTCATCAGACGAAAGACTTACGTAAAATTGACGTTTGCCATATTGACGTTCTGTGGCATCTTCGACCCACTCATCTCCATCAACTGGAATTTTGCCAGTGTTGGTGGCACTTCTTGGGGTGGTTTTTCGGAATAACGGGGCACCAGAACTGGTGGAAGAACGCCGGCCGCATGGACTCTTTTATAGTGGTAGGGGTTGATGCAAATATCTTTTTGACCGGATTCATAGCAGAATCGGCAATCTTCGATGGCTTTCAGCTCATGATGGGATTGAAGATCTGGCCAACGGTAGACACGGCAATAGATCACATGGGGGAGGGCCTAGAAAACGGGCGGGATTACTGTAGGGATACTTGGAACTTTTTCAACGGTGGGGGGAGGGTTTAAAGTTGTTTATCTTGTAGCTCCTGTTGATTCCAGTGTACATAGTTTGGAATTTAAATAGATTTCTATTTGGAATTTCGTAACTTTTTCTGTGAAATTACTATTCTGGCACAAAACATCTGAGGTGGTGGAAGAGAAACGAAGGTCCCACAACAAAAACCACAGTAACCTGAAAATATTCTTATTTTCAGAGTTTTTCTCGTTTTTCACTGATTTCGTCTGTTTTTCGGTAGTTTTTCTTCAAAAATATTGAAAAAATAAAAAATTTTTGGTGTTCTCTCGTTTTCTGTCAAATCTCGACAAATTTTTGAAGGAAAAGTTACACAAAAATCAGTGAAAATCGAGAAAATTCAGAAAACAAAATTATTTTTAGGTTACTGTAGTCTTCGTTGTAGGACCTTCGGCCACGGCAACCGGCGTTTCTCTTACATAGCTCGGAATTTATGTTACAAGCATAATAGGATTACTGTAGGGTTACTGTAGTTTGGAATTTTGAAGTACAATTCAAAGTTTTGTCTATTTTTTGAAGATTTCCTGGCGGAATTGAAGGACTAAACGCGAAATTATTTCTATAAAACTAATATTTCAACGATTTCGATGTGTTTAGAAGTCTTTATTTTCTAGTTTCCAATTCGAATTTATAAACAAATTCAGTCAAAATTTCCAATAACTTGACTTCTTCTTCTTCTCCTTTTTGTTTCCTCCCTATTACTTACCTTTCGATGCGAAATTTGAAGCCGTCCGTCCAGCGATCGTGGAATCGTCACGCATTCGGTTTTTTGTTGTCCTTGACACTGAAAATTTTCACTTTCTTCTAGGTAATATTGATTCTAGAAGATTCAGAGTCTAAAATTAACATAGTTCCTCTAATAGAAGCCCACTTTGAGCTCAATTATCTCTGTTCCTATGAGAGATATCAAAAATTTGTCAACTAAAAAAATGCGGCTGATAATATCAGAAACATTTTATCAGTTGACAGATTTTTGATGTCTTTCATTGGAGCCGAGGTAATTGAGATCAAAGATGACGGTTTAGACCGTCCAAATTGAGCTAAATTATCTGGGTTCCTGTAAAAGATATCAAAATTTCGTGAGCTGATAAAATTTAGCTGATAATATCAGACACATTTTATCAGTCGACATACTTCGTATATCTTTGACAGGAACTGAGATAATAATTTTGACATTGAGGAAATAGGTATCTTCATTTCTCATCAGTTTGTAGTTTAGTCTCCTTTCACATTACGAACCCTCAACGCGAATTCCAGATTTTCGAGTGCCTGTTTGTTGTGCTTTATCAGTTTTTTCATCAAATTGTCGATCGCTTTTTTTGCCCAATTCTCATCTTCGTCTCCTGCAAAAAATCCGATATTCTCTCCGATTTTAGATGACACTTTTAGATGAAAAGGGTATATTATAGTCTCAAAACGGTCTTTTGAATAAAGGGAAACTAAAAAAGTTTGAGAGGAGAGACTAACCCTGCTTCCACTTCAGTCGTTCGGTGATCTTTTTTATTCCGTCGAAGTTGATCTGAAAATCGTTTTTTTTTTAGAATTTGAAGTTTTTCAGATTCCCATGTTCGAAAATTCTGATCTCAATTTTAAGTTTTTGCAAAATTCAAAAATTTTCAAAATCCTATTTTTTCTATGATTCTGATCGGAGCTGTGGAAGAGGTGGCCGTGTCCGAAGAACCCACAACGACAACTACAGTTACCTTAAAATATCTTCATTTTCTGGGGGATTTTAAATCGATTTTCGTGCGTTTTTTTTTCGTTTTTTTTTGACAGAAAAAACATAAAAATCGACATAATCAGTTTAAAAAAAATAAATCCGGGAAATAAACTATTGTTAGGTTACTGTAGTTGTCGTTGTGGGACCTTCAGCCACGGCCACCTCTTCCACTGCTTCGATTTCTCTTCCACTGCTTCGATTTTTTCGTAAATTTTCAAATTTTACAAAATTCAATACTTTTTTTGAGATCCTATTTTTCTCTAAATTCCACTCACCATCTTTCTTTTTTAACAATAAATTCTCAGTCAATTTCTTCAATTTTTGTTGGAAAATAACCTGTAAAACAATGCGCACTTTTCCCCTCTCCTTCTCCATTATTTAGTTCCTTTTTATCTCTAAGTCCTCTCTAATTTCATAGCTTCCATCATCACCCTTGTCACTGTCTAGTCGTTCTTCTTATTTTGCGTCTCTCTAATTCCCATTATCTCTCACTCCCAGATGTGTTTCCGACAGTCAACTTGTGCCCGTTATCGTCCCCCTCCACCCGTTTATTAGCCAACGAGATAGCATGGCGCCTTTTAGAGACGCAGACAGTAACTAGAGAAATAATGTGAAAGAAGAAGAGACCGTTAGAGAAAGAGAAGAGCGACAGTGTGGAGCCAGAAACGAATTAATGCAATTCTAATTTTATTCCTGGGGTAACGGTCCATGTTTGAGAAAGGACCAGGTGTTGAGAGAGGGGTGGAAATTTATGGAGAAGAGGGAAAAATTCTGAAGAGGAAGAGGAACCGGTCAGAAAACAGGGAAAGAACAAAGAATGGTTTTGGTCAGATTTTCGGCAGCATTTTTAGTGTGTGTTTTTATCTTGATCATGGGTGCTTTGTGGATTTTTGAAGATGCTTCTGTTTGAGAGAGATCTGAAAAATTTTAAAACACTTTTTAGTTTCATAATCTGGTGTCTTTGTTATCAGTTCCAATTAATTTTATCTATGACAGGAAAGTTTCATTCGTATGTTTCGGAGCTCTAATTATTGTCAAATGTATAGAATTTCAAAAACTTTTTTCAATTTTTTGTATAATTTAGAATTGGTTCAGTTTTCTTAGTTTCTGAATTCTAAAACTTTGACTTTTCGAATTTTCCCGAAGTTCAGAAATTCTGAATTCTGAAAAAAAAATTGCATGTTTCAAAAGTTTAGAAATTCGAAGTTTAGAAAGAGATTCAGAATTTTTTGAAATATCCGACATTCTAAGACCCAGCAAAACTGTAATTATAATTTTCGAAAACATCTTTAAAACTTTTTTTCGATTTCAAATTTTGTTAATTCTCTCGGATTACTGTATTTTACTGTAGTTTATTGTTGTTTGTAATATTTTAGCTTATTGTAGATTACTGTAGTTTAGTTTTTAAATGTTCCCGATACAGTTTTCTCCAAAAATCATAATATTAGTATTATCATATTTTTTCTGTACTATAAACCCAGAGCTATGGAAGAGAGGCGTCGGTACCCGTGGTCGAAGGTCCCACAACGGCAACTAACGTAACCCGAAAATATTTTTAATTTCCGGATTTTTTTTTTCGTTTTTCACTTTTTTCAGTCAATTTCGCGATGTACAAATATTTTTATTTCCCGACTTGTGAGCAAAAATAACAAAAATAATCAGTGAAAATCGATTAAAAATCCGGAAATTTATTTAGGTTACTGTAGTTGTCGTTGTGGGACCTTTGGCCACGAACACCGATATTTCTCTTCCACGATTTTCAACAGAAAATCTATTGGAAAAAAGTGAAAAGTAAACTACAGTAATCCTCCACAGTTCCTGCGAAATCGGGCTAATTTGAGAGAAATTCGAAGCATTTAAGTTCTTAAAAATAAATAAAACATCTAAAAGGTTTCAGAAATCATAAAAATACAATTTATCTGAATTTTAGAATCTCAAATTTCTGAATTTTGAGTTTCTGAAATTCTGAAAAAATTAAAATTTTAGAATTCAGAATCTGTGAAATTCTAAACTTTCGAGAAATTAAAAATTTCGTAGTCTTTTTTATTCTATGTTTCATGAATTCAGTTTAACCATTTAGTCCCCGATTTTCGGTATAATTAATCGAAACTTCCGTTTCCACGACGATGCCACGTGTCTGCACTTCTCACTCTCTTCTCTCTCATATCCTAACCTCCAAAAGCACCCCACAACACAAAACAAAAGAGACATGTTTATATACTTTTTGTTATGACACTTCTTCCTCTTTTTGTCTTTTTTCACTTTTTGTGAACGTGGCTTCTTCTCCCTCTTCTTCTGCCTTTTCTTCTTCTTTTTCCTTATTTTCCTTAAACGATAGGAGGCAAAGAAACCTTATAATCGGAGACACACCCAACGCCCCGTTTTCTCTGTTATCGCTTCAAAATTTATAGTATTTGAAATTCAAAAGTTCGATCGATTTTCACTTTTCAGGGTTTTCTAGGTATGAAATTTCAAAATGTACATATTGCACACGACGATGAGAAAGACCGGGAAAAGCTGTTGCCGTTGAATAACGATGATCTCAAAGATGAAAAAGGTATGAATTAGAAGGTCCTACAATGAAAACTACAGTAACCTGGAATTTTTTTTTCGTCGATTTTTTGAATTTTTCTCGGATTTTTTTTTATTTTTCCGCATTTTTAATAATTTTTTCGGATTTTTTTCGTCGATTTTTCTCTATTATTTTTTCCCGAAAAAGTCTGAAAATTGAATTTTTTGAAATCAGTAAAAAATTCTGAAAACAATTTTTTTTGGGTTACGGTAATTGTCGTTGTGGGACCTTCGGCCACCAAAATTCTTCTAAAAACCACCCCAAGCCTTTCAGATATCGCCTCCCCATCCCGTCCCAGCTTCGCATTCAAATGCTACGTAATAGCCAGTATGACTTTCATTTGGACCGCCTACACACTCACAATCAAGTATACGCGGAGTAGTGTCGAACCTGAACAGGTACAGAAAACTGAAATTTTTGAAAAAAATACCTTTTGAATTTCCAGATGTACTCCGCCACTACAGTAGTGTTTTGTGCAGAAGTGCTGAAACTGATAATCACATTTGCCATGTTTTACAAAGAATGCAATTTCAATAATGCGCAGTTTTTGGAGGTGTGTTTTTGAAGATTTGATTTTCTCGATTTCTAAAAAGTTTTGAGCAAATTTTTGAATTTTTGTTCAAACATTTTTTCGAAATTCGTTAAATTGACCTAGAAAACACACTAGAATTCATGATATTGGAATATCAGGCCATTTCTAGACCATTTACCATGTTGGCCTAGAAAATTCAACTCGAAAAAGTTAGACCACCATGTTAAAATGACCTAGAAACACACCAAGTGAATATCGAGTCATTTCTAGCCAAATTACGATAGCGGCCTAGAAAACTCCATTTGCAAAAGTTAGGCCACCATTTGAAAATAGCCTGGAAAACACCAGGTATCATGTCATTTCTAGACCATCTATTGTCTATTCAAAATAATCGCGCGGGTGAACGAGTAAAAAAACGTGTAGAGACTCTCCAAACCTGTAGAGGCGCTGTAGAGACGCAGACATTTTTACTCGTTCACTCGCGCGGTTATTTTGAATAGACAATACCATAGTTTCCTTGAAAAAAAATATTGAAAATGAAAAAGTTGCCTAACACCATGCTAAAATGACCTAAACATACACTCGGTCATTATCACTAATTCTAGACCATTTAGCATAGTGGCCTAGAAAATTGAATTTGCAAAAGTTAGGCCACCATTTTAAAATGGCATAGGAAAGACTCCAAGTGAATATCAGATCATTTCTAGATCATTTACTATGTTGGCCTAGAAAACTCTACTTGCAAAAGTTAGGCCACCATGTTAACATGACGTAGAAAACATACCAGGCGAATATTAGGCTGTTTCTAGGTCAGTTACCATAGAAAAATCAAGTTGAGAAAGTTAAGCCACCATGTTAAAATGGCCTACAAAACAGCAAGTCATTTTGAAACTTTGATTCCTCCTTTATCCCTTTAAAATTTTTCAGAAAGTCAATCAATATTTCCTGAATGCTCCAAAAGAATTGGCAAAGATGAGTGTTCCCTCATTCGCCTACGCTCTTCAGAATAATTTGGATTTCGTTGGATTGTCGAATTTAGATGCTGGAGTTTATCAGGTAATACTGTTATCAAAGTCAAATCAAAAATCAGTAAATTCCCAATTTCTTCAGGTAACAACCCAACTGAAAGTGGTCTCCACTGCTCTCTTCATGATGTTGTTCCTGGGTCGAAAGTTCTCTGTCCGACGTTGGATGGCAATTTGTCTTCTGATGTTTGGAGTTGCCTTCGTACAAATGAACAATGCACCAGCTGCAGAATCCAAGCAATCTGGAGAGAAGGCTGAAAACTATATCATCGGGCTGTCGGCAGTTTTGGCAACGTGTGTGACCGCCGGATTCGCTGGAGTTTGGTTTGAGAAGATGTTGAAGGATGGAGGAAGTACACCGTTTTGGATCAGGAATATGCAAATGTACAGTTGTGGAGTGGTAAATTTTTGTACTGAGAAATGAGGAATTTGGGGCTCTTTTTTTTCAGATCAGTGCCTCCATCGCTTGCCTTGTCGACTACTCGAGAATCTCTGAAAAAGGATTCTTCTTTGGATACACTGATAAAGTGTACGCAGTGGTCATCCTCCTCGGAGTCGGAGGTCTCTACATCTCTCTTGTCATGAGATATCTTGATAATCTCTACAAATCAATGGCCTCCGCTGTCTCCATCATTCTCGTCGTCGTCCTCTCAATGCTCATCTTCCCTGACGTCTTCGTTGGAATGTATTTCGTTCTTGGAACCATGTTCGTCGTTCTCGCTGTTCTTCTGTACAATTCGGTTAATGAATAGGAATCTGTGATAATTATTTAACTTATTTTTGTATGTATCCACTTGTCCTCCCGGGTTTTATCGAACTGTGTTTTTTTTTCTGTGTTTTACTTCCGCTTCCCCATAGCTTTAAACCGAGCTTATGTTTCCATTGCATTTTCTTTATTCGAATGAAAAGTTATAAAATAATCTATATTTTTCAGGGAATCTAAATTTTCCAGAGATTAATCATCGAGAGAATATGTAGACTGGGCGTGGGAGAATCATAAGAAAATTCTGAAAAGTAGAAGTTGATTTTTGGTTGTTGAGGAATATCAGAAATAACAAGCTGAATATTTTGAAGAATTTTTTCTCCTTTTTTCTGAATAGCATAGTCCATACTTTCAAAAAATCGAACTCCAGAAATCTAAAAAAAAATATATATTTGTTTTATTTGAGAATTCTAGAAATCAGAATGTTTTTTATTCTGAAACATAACTTTTTTGGCTCTTTGGCTCTTCTTATCACTGATTATTCCTTGAAACGGATCTAAAATTCATCTATAAAATCTAAAAAATAGATTCATTTAAAAAAGAAACCATTTTAATCCTGATGAAAATTGGAAGAAGAACTTTTAATTACAAAAAAAAACCGAAATTCTGAAAACGATCATGAATCGGTAAACTGAAGATGCGGAAATTCAAAAATTCAACAATTTTGATAACCACGATTTGTGTGAAATTGGGGAGAAATTACAGAAAAATTATCTGAAATGAAATATGCATAGACGACTACCGTACCCTCTACCTGAAGACTCTAATAGAAGCCCACCCAAACCATCAACTTTCAAATAATCCAAAAACAATCAAAATCTTATTAACGAAATGTTCATAAATCTAGGAGATGTTCCTTCTTCACACAAGATATTCTAATTTCCAGAACATTATCTTCGTTACCAATTTGCACTTTCCGACTCTAAATTTCGTTTCCGAATACAATTTGACCTGTTGACCATGACTCAACCTGTGATAACAAGCTGACCATACTTTACATCTATCGATATTCGATTTTTCTTTTGGAAATATATACATACAGGGTGGCCGATAACGATTAAAAAAAGATTCAAAAATATTTGTTTATGTTTCGAAACGTCTCCCATTTTTCAGAAATTTTCTGTTTTCTTTAATAACTTTATCCGAATGTTCAAAATATGTAAGAATATTAGTTTTATAACAAGTAGTCATTATTAGAACCACGAGCTTTGACGGAAGCCTTCAAACGCGTGATGAAGGCTGTGCGGTGACTGTAATTGACATCAATATCGCCCAAAAAACGTTTGAATGGACTTCAAAGAAAGTCCAAAAAGCTATAGGAGATTCCTGAGATCTTGTTCTCCAAAAGTCCCCATACATTGAACTCCATCGGATTGGAATCCGTGGAGCTAGAGGGAAAACTGAAATTGTAATTTTGATTCATAAGACGGTGCTCAGTCTTAATTATGGCTTTGAAGACGTCCAGCAAACAGCTGAGTGGCGCAGTGCAACAAATTATTCATCAGAACTACCAATTCGTAGAACTACCAATTCGTAGGCAAATTTTGATACCTTTCACAGGAACCGAGATAAATGAGCTTACTCGGGGTTTCTCGACAACTTTCTGCGGCATTTCTGCGTCCTTCTAAAAAACATTTCCAGAAATTTGCCAAAAATGCTGCAGAAAAATGGTGCCACAGCGGCTGCCGCGCGAGCGTTCGCTCCCTTCATTTCTCTTTACTCGCATTAAAAAAAATAACACATTTAAAATGAGCATTTATTGAATGAAATGACAGTACAAAAAAGTAAAATTGAAAAAGATTATACATTTAGAAGTCTTTTATTTAGATTTTCGCTTGAATTTTCATCAATGGTCCAGTAGAAAATGAAAACATATTCCAAATCAGAAAATTCGGTACAGTAAGCAGGGTTATCGTGAAAACTGCATCATAACGCTATGGCGTTCTATGTTTGGGGGGGGGGGTATTTTGGTGTAATACAAGGTAACGAAAATTTGGTTTTTGCTTGATTATCAGGGTAGGACTTTGATATCCGATATCGGAAAAATTTCTGGTATCGGAAAAATTTCTGATTTCGGAAAAAAAAGACGCGTCTAGCGTTTTATATATAAGGAAGATATCACAAACATTTTGTCAGCTGACAGAAATTTGGTATCTTGAATAGGAATCGAGATGAATGAGCTAAAAGTTTGTTTTGGATGGGCTTCTATTAGACGAAATACGGTATTTGAAGTTCTATCTTTTTCCGGAAAACCCAATAGTTTTCCGGAAAACCCAATAGTTACATTTATTTGTGTCAGCATTTTTTAAAGTTTGATAAAATATGCGATTTCCAATTATTAGATTCTCAAAAAAAGAACCACATCTTCCTTCCTCTTTCCCCCAATTCTCGACTATGTTTTCTACAAAATCAAGTAATTTTCCCTCTATTGTTCGACTCCTTTGGTGCAAAAACTTTCTTATTCTCCTCCTCTTCCTCCTCCTCATTTTCTCATAAAAATTATCCATTAGTTTTGCTGTTTGGCTCAGGTGGCTCATAAAATGTTCTCCCTAGAGACCTTTTTCTCTCTTTCTGCAATTTGTTTAGTGTGTTGGCAGTAGTTTGACAAGTGTGCATTTGACAGGAAAACGGGACGGATGCACATTTTCTTCTTCTTCTTTTGGATAGATTTGACTGGTTTGTTTAATTAGATGGGGATTCAGAAGAGACGATGTCGGAATGGGAAGGAAGGCGGCTCCCAATGAAAGAAAATTCTTCTATCTTCTATCTTTTCGGTCATTCTGAAAATGTCTTTTTTCTAGAAGATTGAATATGGAATATTGCTTCATAGAACAACAAATCCTCATCATTTTTATGCGTTTCCTGTTTTATTCAATTAAAAATCTGACAAGATTTCGTCCTTTTTTCAATGTACATTTTTTAGGTTTTTAGGAATTTTTTAAAGGTTTTTAGGAAATACCGAAAATTCAATAAATTCTGACAATCCAAATATACTGAAATTCGTAAAAATCCGAAAATTCTAAAAATCTTGAAAATCAAAAAATTTCTAAACTATTAAAAAAACAAAGAAATAACATAAGTTTTGCAAATCCAAAAAAGGCGAAATTTGAAAAATCTCAAAATTCTGAGATTTTTGAAAAACATCAAAAAAAACTTTGAAACCCCGAAAAAGCTGAATATACAATATTCCGGAAAATCTGAAGTCTTGGAATCCTGAAAATAAAAAAATCTGACAATGCAAATACCGTATTTCCTCTAATAGAAGCCCACCCAAATAGTCAACTTTGAAGTTAGTTATCTCGATTCCTTCGAAAGATATCAAAGATCTGTCAACGGATAAAATATTGATGATATTATGATAAAAAATTTATCAGTTGACCACTTTTTCATATCTTTCTCAAAAACCGAGATAATTGAGCTCAAAGTTGTAAGTTAGGGAAGCTAAAAGTTGAGGGCTATTGTAACGTTTTTCTGGTAGTCTAGATATAAAAACTTCAAAAAATACAACAATTCTAACAGAGTTACTGAAAAAAATCAATATTTTAAAGTCTTCCAGTTGCTCTAAAATCATCTTGTATTCCACTATTCTCCGTTTCAAAACTTGTTTCTCCATCTCTTTTCCACCTTTTCCCCATTTTATCTCATAAAACCTCATGTTTTTCCCAGCTCCTCCCCAAGAAACCCATTATCAATATACTACTCATAACATCTTCTTCTTCTTCTTCTTGTTTGTTTTTTTTACTTTTTTCTATCGTTCCCTCAGAATCTCAAAAATGATCTGTCTTCGTTACTTTGCTTAATCCTCTTGGAATTTTCTTGCTCTCTTCATAACGTCTATTTTTTTTTTGAAAATTCTAATATTCCTCTCCTTGTTCTTTTTCAATCAATTTCAAATCTTTTCTGGCCATTCTTCTTCAAGTAGTTTATCAGATTTCCCATTCCGTTCTCATCCTTTTTCTTCTGCTGCTCAAATTCAATTCCTTCCTTTTTTCTTTCTTCTTTTTTATCCTAAACTTTTCTCCGTCGTTTTTGCCCATTTTTCTTATGAACATCCTTTTTTGATGTAAAAGTAAAAAGGCATTCAGAATTTTCCTTTTTTTGGGAAAAGGACGATGAATGAAAAATGGAGTAGTAGAAGGACGATGACGACGGAGAAGAAGAAAAAGAAGAAGAATTTGGGAGAAGAGAGAGAAAATTTGTCTTTTAAATTTTATAAAGAGAGAGAGAGAGAGAGAGAGAGAGAGAGAGAGAGAGGGAGAGAGAAGGCTTCTCCCGAATTCTGAATAGAGTTTTGTCGAGAAACTTTTCGATTTTTGAATGTTTTCAAATTTTTAGTAGATTTTGAATATTTGAAATTTTATGGGACCTTTTTTATACAATATCTCAGGCTATAGGATTTTCAAATACCGTATTTCCTCTAATGGAAACCAGCTCAAGCCGTCAACTTTGAGCTCAATTATCTCGATTCCTATGGAAAATATCTAAAAATTTTCAACTGATAATATATTGGTAATAATGCTAAACAATTTATCAGGTGATTTTATCAGGTGATTTATCAGGTGATTTCTGAAATCTCTAATAGGGGCTGAGTTAATTAAATTAAATTTGACGGCTTCTAGATTTTCCTAAACTAAAAAAACCCTGAAAATCTGAAACTCTACAATAATCTAATTTTCTTAAAGAATTAGATTTCCATGAATTAAAAAATATCAAAACCTATTGTTTTAGGGATTCCGAAATTTTAAAATGAAAGAATTGGTCATTTGAAGGATTGGAAATCCTCGAGATTCTGGAGATTCAAGGTTCTCAAGAAATCTAGGATCTGAAATAGGTAATCCTAAAATGTTGGTATCTTTAAACTTATGATATTTTGAGAATTTCAAAGAAAATCCAATAATTGAGATCAAATATTTCATTTTTTAAATGTTCTGAAATTTTGAAAAAAATAGATTTTTTGAAGAATGCTATGTTTTGGAGGTTTTGAAGAAGATTAAATAAGTGAGATTTGATTTATTGGTAACGGGAAAGTTTAAGGATCTAAAACTTTTCAAATTGGATTCTTTTCTCAGATTCCGAGACTCTTATGAGTTTTATGATCCAGAAGATCTAAGCGTCTTAAGACTTTTGAGCTTTCAGCACATTCTGAATTTTGAGATTCTTAAAAAAAATACAGTAAAACATGTGATAGAAGGGCCCCATACTGTCCAGTTAAAGCTCATTTATCTCAATTTCTATGCAAGATATCAAAAATGTGTCAACTGAGAAAACAATTCTGACATTATGATGAAGAATTTATCAGTTGACCACTTTTTTATATCATTCACAGGGACCGAGAAAAACTGGCTCAATGTTGAAAGGTAAGGTGCTCTTCTAATACAGGTTTTACAGTAAGCCGAAAATTCCGATGTCATTGGTTCTGAATTCCTGGTTTGAAAAATCATACATCAGTTTCAGTGTTCTCCTCTTATGATCCTGAGACTCATTATACCTCCTGTTCCCATTTTTTCCATTACCATCCCTGCAAAAAGTAATGAAAATATGTCTTGTTTATCTTTTTTCTGGAATAATCCTAGAATACGTGAGTGTGTGTTGAGTGAGAATGAGTACTGGAGGGATGTGTAGAAGACGACTTCTTCTTATTTTGCTTCTTCGGCGTGAAAATAAGATAAGAGGACTCGACGCGATTGAATTACGGGAGGAAGAAGCCGACTTCTTCGTCGGCTTCTTCAGCACTTCTTCTTCTTATTTCTCCTTTGCATGCTTCACTGATTCTTACAGTTAAAAAAAAACATATTTTCAGAAAAATGATATTTTTCGGCTTGCTTCTTCTAATACCGATACCGGGTGTGGAAACCAAAGAGCCGCCTGTTAAGTGTGAATATTCGGATGAGAAAAAAGTCAGCGAGTGTCTACAGGTTTGTGGTTTTTTTTTACTTTTTTTTCTATTAAAAGGAGGACATTAAAAAATACCGTAAACTCTCTAATAAAAGGCCATCTTGGACTTTGAGCTCATACATATAAGAGATATTAAAAATCGGTCAATAGATAAAATCTTGGCGATATTATGACAAACAATTTGTTAGTGGACCACTTTTGATATCTCTTACTGGAACCAAGATAATCGAGCTCAAAGAGCATAGGGTGGCCTTCTATTATAGTTTATACAGGTTTATGGCTCATTTTCGATATATTTTGGATCCCTTGATTTTTTCAGCCTATGCTGGACTACGCTACAAAACTTCAAGCTGAAACTGGAGCTATGCAATTCCCACTTCAAGGGGGTCAAGTGTTCAACCAGTTGTGCTCGATCTACACTGATTTTAAGGTGAGATAGATGGAAAATTACATTAAAGACAAGGGAAAGTTACATATTTGAAAAGAATCTTGATCATCGTTTACCGTAATCACTTTAATGGCGGGCCACCAAACCGTCAACTTTGAACTTTTATATCTCCTTTCGGCAAAATTCAAATATAGACCCACCCCTATTCAAGTATAGCCCCCCAAAATGAACTATAGTTGAGCCCCCCACCTCCAACAACCTATACATTTGGAACAGTTCAAATATAGCCCCCCCCCCCCCCCCCACCAATTCAAATATAGAACCCCACTTTTTCGTGGTTTGTGGTGTATGAAGGGTACCGTAGCTTTCATGATGCAAATTTTGAGCGTTTTGTTTTCATTTTCTTTTGTTTTCTTTTTGGGTTTTGTCCTATTTTTCACCATTTTTTTGTTGTTTCTGGAAACTGTTGCTAAAAATTTTTTCAATTCAGAAAATGAAATAAAATGAAAATTGAAAATTGAAACATTCTAAAATTCAGGCTTAGGCCAAAAAATGGTGGGGAGCTATTTTTAAATTGGTGGGGGTCTAAAATTGAATGGGTGGGGAGCTATTTTTGAATTGGTGGGGGTCTAAAACTGAATGGGTGGGGGGGGGGGGTCATTTTTTGAAATGAGGGGGGAATAAAGTGTCCCCTTCTTGGGGGGGGGGGGGGGCTATTTTTACTTCAACCAATCAATTCAAGTACAGCCCCCCACACCTCAGTAGAGTAGTATTTGAATTATACCCTCCTTTCCTGTGAAAGTTATCAAAAGGTGGTCATCTGACAAAATATTGTTGATATTATGATAAAACAATTTACCAGTTGACAACTTTTTGATCCCACAGGAAAAAAGATAAATTGGGTTGAAAGCTGCACCTCTTTCGTAAGCGCCACCGGCCGTTGCCGGAATTCGCGCCTGAAAGGGGTACTAACTTTGAGCCCATATATCTCATTTCCTTTGAAAGATATCAAAAAGTGCTCAACTGACAAAATCTTTCACATAATATCACTAGTGTTTTATTAATTGACAGTATTTTCATATCTTTCACAGGAACCGAGAAAATATGGCTCAAAGTTAACGGTGTTGGTGGCACTCTACTAGAGGGTTTACGGTAGTTCGAAATATTCAAGGAATGTGTCTCCTCAGTTCGCTGTGATTCTCTATCAATCGATGCGGTTCACGCTTCCTACAGTTATATGTGTGGATCTGGTCAACCGTTGTTCCAGAAGCACGCTGGATGTTTTGCAGAGGTATCATTCGTTTTTACACATACAGCTCGACTCCCCTTTGATCTCAATTATCTCGACTTGTGGGAGAGATATCAAACATTTGTCGACTGATAAAATACTGCTGATATTATGATAAATAATTTATCAGTTGGCAAAATTTTGATATCTTGCGCAGGAATCCAGCTAATTGACCTCAAAGATTTTTCGAGTGCAATCATCCGAATTTAAGGTCGAAGCTCAAAAAGAGTACATCAGCTGTAAAATCGCAGCAACTCAAGCGATTTCGGAAGCACAAGGCGCCAAAGTAAGTGGATAAATGCAATTTATTTTGAAACAACACAACATTTGATTTATACCGAAACTCAATTTTTTCTAGGGATCGTCCACAGAAGCATATCTCACGGAAATGTGTCGAGCAATGGATGGATACTTGAGATGCTCTCATCCAATTATTCTGGCAAAGTGCGGTAACGATGCGTGGACACTTGTTTCGACGGTAAGGACTTTTGAAGAATAGTCAAAAATAATTAGAGACGAATTTCAGGTCACCCGCGACAGTCTTGGAGTCACGATGCCCAATTGCGACATGCATAAAGCTCTTTTTTAACCTGTTTTTTCCAGTTTCCACGTGTAGTTTCAGTCACTTTTTCTTCGTTTTTTTTGTCTCAAAACTTTCATACTGGTCTTACCACACAACAACGCAACACCCTTTTCCTGTTTCCCTTTATTTTAAACTGTAATTTCGAACTTCTTTGCTGTGCAATAATAAATATGAAATGTGTTAAATTTTACTGTTTTCGAACAGAAAATAATTAAAATCTGGAAAAATAGCAACCGTAGATTTTTCGCTGCGAGACCCACGGAAGGTTTTGAAACATGCGGCTTTCGGGTTACGGTGGAATATTTTGGAATCGACTTTTTTTGCGTTTTGATTTGGAATTTCACCGAGTTTATACATTTTAGCAGGTCATTTCAAAATATAATTTTTAGATATAACTTTCACATGTTAATATACTTTGTAATTTTCATCAAATCCACAAATTAAAAAAATAAAATTGTTTCGTTGCGAAACCCACTAAAAATTTGAAGGTTTGCGTCTTCCCAGTTACTGTAGAAATTTTTTTTGAAATATTCCGCTGACCATGTCCTGCTCGTTTTTTCGCGATATTTCGAAATTTCGCATTTAATTTTCAGATGGCGAATCAAGAAATCACACTGAACCATCTCGTTCCATATATGAAAAATATAAATTGCACAGTGATAGTGCTAGATGGAGGTTTTTCAGAATTTTCCGTTTTTCGTTTTGTGATATTGATGTTTTCAGGAGCATATAAACCAACAGCACACGGTTCAGTTTATACTCTTCGCGTAGCTGATATCAGTGGTATTTTCCTGCTTTCGCAAGACAAAAAATCCATTTTTGGGTATTTTCAGGCTCGATAAATGCCACAATCATGTATCCAGACTATACCGAGCGGTTCGATCCTGGGGATATTCTCAAAATCAAAAACGCCTCCGGAGTGGTTCATCAAAGTCGTCTTCAATTGGGAGTCAACTATCGAATGAACGGAGAATGCAAGAAGAGCGGAGAGTTTTGTATGATCTTCAACGAGTTGCCAAACTTCAGTGACAGAGTGCTTCCGGAGAATCTGCGAGATCCGCGCGACCAGCAACGTCAGGGACCGCCGTCACGTGGTCAACAGAGACATCAGCCTCCTAGGCAACCATCACAACCCAGAGGACCACCACAGCCTTCCACAAGCGGAGGACAAGTCGGGCCTTCTTCTCGGCGAATTTTGAAATAGTATTTTTATATTTTTTCATTGTTTTTTATATTGTGATAAAACTAACATGATTCTGGGATTTTTTCTAAAATTAGTTGAACGTATACTTCGACGATTGTATATATTTTTGCTTTCTCTGGTCTAATTTCATTTTCGTTGCAGCTGGAAATTCGAAGATGGGCGGAGCTCAAAAATTATCGAAAAATCGGGATTTTTTTCGTTTTTTCACCGATTTTTGTAAGAAAAAAAAATCAAAAATTGTTCGAGAAATCGAAAAAAACAAGTCAGAAAATAATTACAGAAAATACAAGCTCCTTCGAGGGCTTTTCATTTTTTCGCTTTTATTACTTCGTGATTATATTATCTCCTGCATTTTCTGACCTATTTTTTCGAATTTTTTCTCACAAAAAATCGGGAAAAATGACCAAAAAATCTATGAAATCCATCGAAAAACCTAGAAAATATGTCAGAAAATTACCACGAAAAATACAAGCTCATTTAAAAATTATTACCGAGCCTAAGCTCCACCCACCGTCGGATTTTCAGCCGCAACGCGCATCTTTATGCTTCTGCGCCTCCTTAAATTTTAAACTTCCGCGTTTATCACAAAGTGCGCCTCCATCGAAACACCCATTTCGCGTCACACAATCCTCTGGCGCCTTCCTCGTTTTTTTTGTTCAAGGCGTCGCGACTCGAAGAGAGAAGGGGTCTCTGTCTCCGACGTGCAATTCATAAAAGTTTTGTTCTTTTTTATATATATATTCCGATGCGTAAACAACGCCTTCTCAGTCGGGGACTCCGCCCCCTCTCGCACTTCATAATCGTTTTTCTGGTCAGTCATAAACACCCTCTTTCTTTATTTTCAGATGCGCTTCTCGCGGAAGTTGCTGGGTCCATTCGTAGGCTCGTTGGCCAAAAAACTCGATTATTACAGGTTAGTCAACAATGGTTTAACCTCAAAAATAGACCAGAAAAACAAGCGGATGTTGACCTTTGTTCTTCTATAACAAAAACCAGTTTTTTTGTTTGCTTTCAGTCAATTCCAACCGTCGTCGCTCACAATTCAACAATACTTGGACTTTGGCCGAATAGGAACCGCCGCCAACTCGTATACATTTTTGAAGAATGAGCTTCTCGTTCGACTTGCCAATATTATGCAGGAATTCACCCTATTGCCACCAAAGCTTCTGCAAATGCCCAGCTCAAAAATGGTGTCAAACTGGTATGCGGAGAGTTTCGAGGACCTTCTTCTCTTCGAAGCATCAGACGCTTCACCAGAGCAGGTTGCTAGATTCAACGACCAGCTGACTGTTGTGCTGAAAAGACACGCTCACGTCGTCGAGACAATGGCCGAGGGACTGATTGAGTTGAGAGAGTCGGATGGGGTGGATATTGCCAGTGAGAAGGGGATTCAGTACTTTTTGGATCGATTTTATATCAATAGAATATCCATTCGTATGCTTCAGAATCAACATTTGGTGAGCACGACAAAAATTTTTAACGCATTAAAATGTGTCAAAAAGTTATTTATTTTCCTAATATTGCTACAAAAAGAAAAGAAAAAAACCGGGACCCCCGAAACAATTTTTCCGGATTTTGTCTGTTTTTTTTTTTCGCCATTTGAAAGGAACGCTCCCACACGCCATGGTTTAGGTTTCTCCCTGGAAATCCTCGTTCCTCCCAGGCACCTTTTTTTGAAATTAATAACATTAGAAAAATGTAGAAATTTTAACACATTTTAATGTAATAAATATTTTGAATTTTGACCTATTTTTTCCAGGTTGTTTTCGGAAATGTCCTTCCGGAGAGCCCACGCCATGTCGGCTGCATTGATCCGGCTTGTGACGTGGAAAGTGTCGTCTACGACGCATTCGAAAATGCTAGGTGAGTCCTCTCTTGCTATACGAAAATGTGCCGCCTTTTGGGTTTTTGATAAGCCTCAATACTCACTGGACACTCAGGGAGTTCAGTTGTCAATGATTGAGCCCTCACAAAGCAAAGTTCGATTTGCTCTCGCCGCTGATAACCTGATTTCTTCGATTGTCTGTGGAAAAATGTTCTTTGAGAGGGCTGAGGAATGACGTTTTTTGAAAGTGATAGGTTAGATGGAACCTGATCGTTTCAAAAAACAAATCAAAGAATTTCGAAGAAAAAATAAGTAAAAACATGCAATTTTGGTCACATTTGTTTTTGTCTCCCACACGAAATTTTGGTTGGAGACGAATTTGGAAAAAAATGCGCAGGCAGGGAGAAGGAAGTTAAGATTAAAAGTGCACGATGTTGGAGCTTGGAAATAGTAAATAATAATTTGGTGGCCTAGAATCTCAAGATGGGGATTTCTAGGTCACCGAGTTCGAAAGCCATAGTAACCCAGATGGCCTAGAAATTCGGAAATTTGGGCTCCCGGAGATTTCGCAGCCGGACATTTCACAGCCAGACATTTCTCAGCCGGACATTTCGCATCCAGACATTTCCCACTCTGACATTTCGCAGCCTGTCATTTTGCAGTCAGACATTAAACAGCCGGACATTTCGCAGCCAGACATTTCGCAGAAGGACATTTCGCAACCGGACATTTCGCAGCCGGACATTTCGCAGCCGGACATTTCGCAGCCAGACATTTCGCAACCGGACATTTCGCAGCCAGACATTTCGCAGAAGGACATTTCGCAGCCGGACATTTCGCAGCCAGACATTTCGCAGCCTCTGATAACGTCAGAAAATCAGAATCCCAAGTTCTTCGGTTTTGAAAAAAAGTATATTTTAATGTCAGAAATTGAATTTTGGAAGAATTCGGCTGAAAAAAAAATCAAATTTCAGCTGAAAAAATAGCAAGCAAGCATTCAATCAATTGAAAAATGATAA